TTTTTTTGTAAAATTAGCAAAAGTACTGTATTTCAACTGTAATCAATCAGTTAAGATTGCTTTATCCATTGTGACTTCCCCTTGGCTAGTTGGTGGTGAAGTAAGTAGCAGAGGGCATTTTGGGGACCTGGCTAAAGAGAAGATGAGTTGGGCTTATTACACTGGCTTGGGTTAAGTGAGACCTATTTATGTCACTCATAGTTATTTCCATGTATACTTAAGTTTGTATTTAGTTTTATGTTTTTTCCCTTAAAGAGGGCTTGCCAAAATGTGTACAGTTTAGACTCTACTAAACCTGATTCTTCCTCTGCTCAGAAGAGACAGACACTCAAAACGCTTTCTATCAGTAGCTGCCTGTTTTCTGGATAAATTATTCTAATTGAATTAGTTACCATATTATTTAACAAAGCCAAACCTGTATTCCAAAATGAAAAGGATCATTCCTTATTTGGTCGTAAACTCAATAAATAGTTAACTGAGCATCTATTATATGCTAAGAACCATTCCAGGCCTTGTGGGTAAAGCAGTGATAAGATAAAATTGCTGACCTCATGGAGCTTACACATAGTGGAGACAGATAAACAAATAAACCTAAAAATACATACCTTCGGGTAGGGACTAGTGCTATGAAATAAAATAAATGCAGAGTAAGGGGTCAGGAAGTGATGGAAAGTGAGGGAGATGGCATTTTATGGGAGAGGGCTAGAAAGACCTACTTGAGCCAGCGAGGTTCCAGCATACTTGAATGAATAACGGGGTCAGTCATATGACTATGTGAGAGAAAAGCATCCAGGTAGAGAAACAGCAAGTGTAGAGGTCTTAAAGCAGGAACAAATTGGTCTGTTTAAGTAACAAGAAAATCAATGTGGCTTATACTGTGATAAGAAGCCACTAAGTGATTTTGAGCAGATCATTAGAGATATGATCATATTTTCATTTTTAAAAGATCATACGGGCTGCTGTGTGGAGAACAGGCAACAGGAAGGGGAAGAACAAAAGAGCAGGAAGGAGGCAGTTGTTATGGTCCAGGAAAGGGATGGTGATATCTGAACTGTGTGGAGGAGGAGAGAAGTGGACACATGCAGGATATGTGCAACGTTACTAGCAATGTGGCTGCATCTGGGCTATGAAAGAAGAGAAATCAAGGATGATTCCTAGACTTTATCTGAGCAGTTGGGTAAAAGGTGGTTCCATTTATTAATATGGGGAGAATTGGAAGGGAAACAGGTGTGCAGAAGACATTAAAAAATTGTTTAGCTATATTAAGTTTGGAATTCCTACGGGACTTCTAAGTGGAGAAGGTAGTTACTTGTTTGAATCTGGGGAGAAACTGGAAGATTTGGGAGTTTTCAGCACATAAGCAGTAAACCATAAGAAGGATTGAGTTCACCTTGTGTATAGAGATAAAGAAGAAAAGATGGCACAGCACTGAACTCTGGGCCACTGCTCCAATTAGAACAGTGGTTCTCAAAGTGGGTGATTTTGCTTCCCTGGGGACGTCTGGCTGGGTCTAAAGACATTTCGATTGTTATAACTGGGGGATGCATGTGTGTGTGCCACTCTTATCTAGTGGGGAGAGGCTAGGCAGGCTGCTAAACATTCTACAATTCAAAGGATGAACCCTCACAACAAAATTATTTGGTTCAAAATATCATTAGTACAGAGGTTGAGAAACCCTGATTCTCAGGGTGGGAAGAGAAGACTGTAAAAGAACAGTTGTTAAGGAAAGTAAAGTGAGTTACAGAAGCAATGAGAAGATAATGTGGCAGGCAGGAAGGCTTCATAAATTGTGGCCAATGGTCAAGTTCATAAGGACTGAAACATGCTCTTGAATTTAGCAATATAGAGGTGGCTGAAGGCATAAAAGAAAATGGTTTTGATGGAAATGCCGACGGTGAAAGCCCCATAGGAGTACATTCTAGGGAGAAGAAGAGGTCAGGCCAGGAAGTAGTAACAGTGAAGAAAGATAACCTTTTCAAATTCTGCTCTAAAGATACACACAAAAAAAGTAACCAGAGCAGTTTATGGGAAAAGGAACTGTAGTTTTTATTAGAAGATGGGAGATATTAGAGCATGTTTGCATGGTGATCTGTTTGATCCAACAAAAGTTAACAGAATGATGAAGGAAAGAGAGAGGATAATTGCAGGAGTAAAATTCTAGGTTAGACAAGAGGTTATAGAATAAACAAAAGATGAAAACTTTTCTGTATCAGGTTTAACTTAGCTGTACATTGATCTTCCCTAGAATTAACCATTTGTTCAGTTCAAGAGTACAAACTGTCTTTATTATAGATTTTAAACATTTGACAAATTGTTTGGTGATATCATAAGAAGCAGCAAGGTATAGTTCTGTCTAATGTATACTATATATCATTTTCTGTTAATTTCCTGGCTTATTATTAGTGTTTAAATATTTGTCTCATGAATAAATGAACATATAGGAAAATTCTATTATAAACTAGATAATCCAAGATATTTTAATCATATAACCTTTATTAAAAGATCTTTACCTAATTACAGGAATTAAACTGCATATGTGTTCTTGAATGACCTGACTGGGCATTATAGTAATTAAATTATTTGAACTGAAATAAAGGATTCTGCATTCTCTGTGGAATACAGATATAAAATACTATATTTCTAGTTTTAACACAGAGATCTTACCATTTGATGGTTAGATTTCAATAGCAGATGACATGTATGGTGTGAAAGAAAAATAATTAAGGACAGGAAATAAGGGGAAAATTAAAATTTCAGAAAAAAATAGTAGTAAGCACCACAAAAAGGTTTAATATTCTTTTTCTCAAAATTACAACCTGAAATTTCATCTCCTTAGTCTACTTTGTGTTGCTAATTATTTTCCCCAACTAATCTGGCAAACGATCTTGACCTAGAAGGCTTGATGAAAGAGTGAAGAATTACTTTTTCTTTCTTAATCCTTTCTTTCTCATTTAATTTTTAACATGGTGGAATAGTATAAATATATATTTTGAAATGGTACTGAGGGTCTGACTATTCTAACACCTTTACTGGAGAAATCTAACTGGAATTAGAATACTCTAATAGCATTTCCCTTTTTCTCTCAATTCTTTATGTTTTGAATTTTGATAATTTTAGTTTTTCAAGCTGGGTATAATTTCATAAAAAGAAAAAAAAAACATTAATGGCAGACACTTTCCTTTGAGTTCCTGTATACTTCAGTAAATCAAAAACAAAATGAACAGAGAAATTTGAAAAATCATTTTAAACAGCAGTTATCTAGTTTGTAATTTTTACGTCAAACCACTGACAATGAGTAGAATAGATATTAAGGTCTGAGTTCCTGAGTTAGCAAAAGATTCTATTTTTCTTCATCTACTTTTTCTTCTGAAGCCTCCAGTTTAAACAACTGAGAAGGAGAATGTCATGGAATGCTGGGGTGAGATCTCAGCTATCTCTGACACTCTCTATTCTCCAAATATTTTCCTCCCTGCAGGATCTAAGTTTTCTACTCTCACCATATGACTATAATTCCCTCCTTTCTGCTTCCCTCATTATAATAATGTTTTTACTCTTCTAAAATATTCTTACCCAAGCCAGGATGCCTTTGCCATGCATTTTAAGGAAATCTGCTTAACTGGAAGTGAGCTCTTAACCTGAAGTGTTCCTCTCACATTTTCCTGTCATCTTCTTTCTTTATATGCAATCTTAGTACCATATTCCCTTAACTATAATTTTAAATACCTTCTTCCCTGAGAAAATTTCCTCACTGAGATCACAGAAAGACAACATAAGCTATTTCCAAAAATACTTTGGACAACAGCAACAATGTTAGAACAAGTTGTGTCCCAAGATGAGATGACTTACTCTGTAAAGATCAACAAAGGAGATAAATTCTTTTTTTTTAAAAAAAAACAGTCATTTGTTTTTAGTACCTAATTTATAGTACTAAATTCTTTATTTGTGTTTACTTCTCAATTACTTAGCTTTAAAAAAGAAATGATTTCACGGGGAGTCAAATTCACAGAAACTGAAAATAGAAGGGTGATTGCCCTTGGAAGAGGGGACTTGGAAGAGGGGAAATGAGTAGCTGTTTACTAGGTAGAGTTTCAGTTTTGCAAGATGAAGTTCTGGAGATCTGTTGCACTGACATGTGAATATACATACCACCACTGAATTGTACTCTTAAAAATTTAAGATAGTAAAAAAAAGAGCATCAATTTGTATATTTTAAATATGTGCAAGTGCAGTATATATAAATTATACCTCAATCAAGCTATTTAAAAAAAATAATTTCACGGAAGTCAGTTTTTCTATTCCACAAAACCTTAATTTTTTTTAAGTTACATCAAGATCTTGTTCTCTGGCAACCTGTTAAGGAGTAACAGGAATATCTTTTTTATGGTAAAGAAAGTAAAGGTCTGCCCATAGGAAAGCAGTTTTAAACAAACAAACAAGTACTCAGACATGTTATATACATTCTTTCAGTCTTTCCAAATCTCAGAGAAAACTTATCAGTATTCTTATACTTTACTAAGGGAAAGGAAGACCTATTAAAAATTATAAGAGAAATAGCAAAGAATAAATAGTTCTTTCCTAAGTTAAAAAATTAAGAATGAGCAAATACTTCAAAAATATTTGTTGACAATTTGTAAATACCTATAATATTCGTGATACTGCTAGACCTTTATAAAAAAAAACTGGAGGCAGAATCTTAACTTCCCCTGTTCTGCCCTACCTGGACCCCAAATAACCGCAACTTTTTCTCTTGCTCCTCTCTCAGGATCACTTGTTTGCACTGCCTTCATCTTTACCTTCAGCCATTCCTCTTCCCAGTACTTCCTGCTAATAATGTTTTCTACGTCAGGCCCTCAATTATTTGTAGATTTCTTGCACATACAAGAAATAAAAAGCATTCAATACATCCAGGTGTGAACAACAGGACATGGACCAGATGTCTAAAAAGATTTTCAGTACATATTACTTTTAAAAAGGAGACATAAAAAGAGCTGGAGCAAAAAGACAGGGTCTGTAAACTCAACCCTGAAGAACAGATGGTTGTAAAAGAGAAATTTTGGGAAAAGGAGGCAGGAGCACTCTAGAGAAAAAAACGTAGCAATGGCTTAGAACTAGAAATAAGCACGGCATGTTCTGAGAGAACTAGCAAGGACAGTTTAACTTAGTTAAAGAAGAAAGAGTTTCTGGGAGAAGTGGATCAGGTGGGACTGGGTAGGATAGAGTCTTCAAGATAATGATTTCATAGTAAAAATAACAACAAATATTGCCAGGACATATTGAGTACTTCTATATGCTAGCTACTATGCCTCATGTTCTACATATGTCACTTAATCCTCACAGCAAACCTATAAGGTAGGGATTATTCTCCTAATTTTGCAAGTGAGAAAACTGAATCTATGAGAGGTTAACAAACTTATTCCAAATCACTAAAATGGTAACTTCAGGTGCCAGGATGTGAATCCAATTTGTCTTCTTTTCCATTATACCTAGTATTGGTGGCAGGGAGAGGTAGATTTATTTCTAATGGTGTCTGAGTGGTAGAACTGGCAGGCTAAAAGGGCAAAGAAGTTAATGATTTTCAATTTGAGTTTTTAAAAAAAAACCAAACAGTAGGTAACAGGTGATAAAGAGAAAAAAAACTTTTGTACTAAAGGCCAACAACAATTTATTCTTCATTGAGATTTCCTGTTGTATAAAGCATACTAAAAATTTAATCTTAAAAAGTCATTGAAAACTTGAAATAAATTTAAATTATCAATGTAAGGGAATATTTAGGTAAATTATGACATGTAATAGATTATGCTGCTGTGAAAAATATTTTTGAAGCATTTTTAATAGCATGTAAAATCACTTAGGCTATATGGAGATAATTATAACAAAGCTATAATTGAGAAATAAAGGGACAAATTATTAGGTTAATGAAAAATAGCAAAAAATAAAAAAGAATGGAAGGAAATACATTAAAATGATAGAATTATATCTGGGCAGAAGGACAACAGGTAATATACTTTATATATTTTTCCTATATATTTCAAATTTACCATAATGGGCACATATTAATTAGTAACTAACAACAAAAGATCTCTTTAATTTCCTTTTCATTCAATGACATCTTCCTTTTTCTTAACTCTTTTCCTCTCTTAATTCTGTCCAGTTTTCATCTCAATATTTCAGGTGGAAATGGGCATACTCACTCATACATCTATCTACATGTTCTGACAACCCTTTGCACAGGTGACAATACTATTCAGAAAGGAATTGGGTAATATTTGTTTCTTAAGGAAATTTAGGATACTGGTTAAGCACGGACTTTAAAGTCATACAGATCTGAGTTTCAATTTTACTTTTGTAATTTACTTACTGTGTGACCTGAAGCAAGTTTCTTAACCTGTCTGAGGTTAACTGTCTAATATGCAAAATAGATATTTTCCTCATGTGGAGTTTATGATTTAATAAATACATCTGGCACAGAGATGTATTTATGTAATACATGTATTTTATGTAATACATCTGGCACAGAGAAAAAAATCTCAATAAAAGGTAGTTATTATTTGGGAAGTGCTGTAACCTTTACACTACACAAGCTACATTCATATTTTTGTCCAAATCAGGCTAAACGTGTCCTTAAAAGTGAAGTAGCAGTAATATGCATGTTTCTACTCTACATCCTAAAGGAGTTTGTATGATTCAAGCCTCTCTATAATTGAAACCAATTTCCTTCACTGCACTTGCACATTTTGTTATTATTTTACTTGCTTATTTTCTCTTTCTCTCACAAGACCCTAAGTTCCATGGCCAAGGTGTGTTAGTTACTCTCATATATCCATAGTCTAGTATTATATTTCATAGGAATGGTTAGTCCTTAACAAATGTTTATTGAACAGATGAAACATAATATTCTCCTATTTTCAAATCTTGAATCTCTGTATCTCCAGAGATATTTTGCAAAACTTAAGTACTGCCAATGGAAAAGGGAAACGAAAGGTGACAAGCATTTCCAGTCCACCGCAGGACTACTGCTGTCACTTCCTTTCCTCCTAACCTATCTAGCTAAGCCTAAAAAGAGAGGCGTAGTCCTGCCGAGAACCTCTCAACATGAGCACTCCCATTAGGACACAGTAACAACATACTGGGTGGCACTCTTCGCATTTCAGATAAGCGGCCATTCTAAACAGTAATTACACGCCCTCAGAATTGCTAGTGTGCATTGAAGAGTATGGTAGCATTTCGTAAGTATACCAAAAAAATAGCTCATGCAACTACAAGTAAAAAATTAAATACTAAGCCCTCATTTTTCATCTGAAAAAGGTGAGTCATAATCTCTCCAACAGGATTATTTTGGGGATTAATGGAGACAGGGCATGTAAATCACATACCACAATAGTAAGCACTAAATAAACAGTAGCTATTATTAAAACACAATCCTGAAGTGAACTAACTGCATGTAGGAGCATAAACAATACCCTTGTATTAACTCATTTTAAATAGCAAAATTGCCTAGTAACTTGAGTTAGATATTAAAATTATACTGTATTGTCTTGGTTTAATTTTCATATGTAGAAATTTTATTAAGTAAAAAAGTTTAAAACCTTTTTTTGTAACTGCATTTTAATATCTGTAACTTTATAATTTAAATTGAATTTTACTTTTTATTACAGAAAGTTATCAAAAACCAAACTAAATCAAATTATTTAAAAAAATCTATATATTTTACCTGGCCATTTCCAAGCAGAGATATATCTTTCCCCATTAGAAAATAGGATCCAAAAAAGAAAATAAAGGCATGACTGAAACCCAGTATGGTCCAATAAAGAAAAGTTTTAATACTCAGTTGACGGTTTTTACTAATGTCTCTGTAAATTAAAAAAAGAAAAAGGAACATATTAGGACTCTTATTTATTATTTACCTACTAAACAATTATTACAACTGGATAATTAAAAAATAAGATGAATTTTTTAAATTGCTTGAAAACCATTGTTTGTAATATCGTACACCTGTGTAATAGCTTATATGCAAATACATTTTCTCATCTTAAAGAAATATGATAGAGGCATAATACTTGTTTAATAGTGAAAAGTTGATTTATTTGTATTATATTCTGTTGTAAACATTTAGTCACTCTGCTTCGTTTATTTTTAGTGGAGTCATTTGAGTTAGGTTCAGCACTGAGGCTTCCAATCAACTTCATGTCCATCATAGCTATTATGAGAACAGTCTTTGCCAATCTTGGGTCAAATCCAGTCCTAGATATCCTAGGATTCAAGGTAAGCTATTGCCATTTCTAGATAATTCATTATTTCTATAGGGTTGGAAGTAAGGTTAATGTGGAAATCATAAGTTGGTCCTCAGGAATAGTTCCACATCTCTGTGATTACTTGGTTCTGGGGAAGCAATAATCCAAGGGATCTGGGATGGGAATTAATGTCCTCAACTCTACATTTTGCATTGATTCTAACTCATAAATTTGGCAATGCTAGAACATGCATTTTTTAGAAACTCTAGAGACAACCAATTACTGAATAACTTCTTTTGTGCACATTAAATAGAATACTACTGGTTTGCAAGAGTAAATGCAAATCACATAACTGCCCAATGCATTAGTAGAATGAAAACGTTCATTAGTAACAACACTGGAAAAATTATATTCAACAATTATACACCATACAACTAAACTCTTTTCCTTAATAAAGTATTCATCACCAATACACTACCTAATATATTTATTTATTTTTAAGGTACTTTAAAAATTAGTAACTATGTAATATACGACTTGAAATCAGAAATGTTACGGATTTAATGCTGAAAAATACTTACCGATAGAGGGTGGGCTTGCTTTGTAATACATGAGGGTCTACATGCTGTTCTAGTAAACTATATATTAGAATAGGTAGGGAAGTAAAACAAATATTGTATAATGTCAGGTACACGCTGTCATACAGTGTCTAGAAAGAGAAACAGATAGGAATTTTGAGATTCTAAACTATGTATTAGGATTATGTATATAAAAACAAAGCATATTAAAAATAAGCACAGAAGTTATAATTTTACACAATTCTTATATGCATCCTAGGTTTCTCACTATTCCTTTGATATGTTACACATAGTTTTGATTTTATGGTTTTGTCTTTCCATCTAAGTCCTATACTTTCTTTAAGGCATGATCCATGAAATTAAACATTGGCTCAAGTCCTTGATGATAGCTTCCTTTTCTAAATAGCCATATGAGCTACTGTTGGTACTCATTGTTCAGCATTTTGCCTATGCTTCACATACTCTTTTTGTTATTAATACCATCTCTTTAATTATACTGTAAACTCTCTAAAAACCAAATCAAAATAGTTTACTTCTTGTCATATACTCTTATAGCATTCTTTATTTCAGTCAAGTAAGCAAATGTTGTTACTGGCAATCAATGCCTAAGCAGATATTTAGAATTTAGAGTCAGAGATTGTAACAAGAAGAGAAAACAGTGTTTAAGGATTAATAAAAGTAATTTAAAAACCTAAGATAATCAAGCTCTTGGTATTTCAATAAATTTGAACAAATGTCTTGCTCAATTAGAGATGTATAGTGTGGTATGTGAAGATAGTATACAATTAGTCAGAAGCAATATGTCCAAGTATGGTTTAGTTGTTAACTTAGCTATGTGATCTTGGGCAAGTTACTTAATCTCTGTGAGTTAAACCCTTGAGCTTCTGTTTCCTCATTGGAATGGTAAATATGTGACATGTGTATAACCAGAGTCTCACTACCATGTGCTCAGTTAACGGCTACGTTAACTAATTTTGCAGGGTTTTCCCTCTGAGCCTATAGCCCTTTTCGATACAGTACTCCTAGTGATCTCTACCAATAATTTAGAGTAAGCTTCTGAGATGAAACGTGTAGGTCATCTCTGGACTCAATCACTAAGGTTCCTTCCAAATCTAAAAAAATTCTGAGTCAAAAAAATAAAATAAAATAAAATAATGAGGTAATCCCTTAATAGTTACCTGGACTGGTTTGATTTGGATTTTACAGAAATATTACAAATAAGTTGAAAAAAATTACCAAAATTCTCTCTTAAGCTGTTTAGAGTTAACATCTATTTTTAAAAAAGCATTCAGAAGTAAAATATATCTTAGTACTAACACTCACTTCAAACTGAAATTTAGAGTAAATATTATGAATGTTATACTTAATAAATACACTAATTAGAAAAGTTTTATCTAGTTATCAGCAGGATTAGGAAAAATGGAAAAAGTCCCTCCAAGTATCTGTCAAAGATCGAACACACATACTTTATTCTAAAAGGATAAAACAAAAGCTTCTATTCACTTACTTGTTGAGAAAACAAACAGTAGAACTGATATAAAAATTGGGGTGTGATAAAGCACACATTCTGAAAAACAAGATTAAATGGAAATAATTAAAATATTTAGGTCTAAAAGAGAAAATTTCAAAAAATGGCTATTAAAGAGTCTAAAAACAATCTCAGTTGATATGGAAAGTAGAAGATCTGCCCATAAGAACTTGTTCATATAAAATGGGAAAACAGGACTCCCATTTTATTAAAAAATGCCTGAAAGTATTCTAAGCAGCACTTGCACATGTCAGAATAAAACACCATTGACTCCTATTGCTGTCAAGTAATAACATAATTTTCAATTTATACCTTCCAACTATTATTCAATACTTTGTGAATATAGTACAATAAGTAAGGTTTACTTAAACTTTAGTGCTATAATAACTTTAAATTGCCAAAATATTTAAAACAGAATAAATGTAACTATCAAAACATCTTTCCATTTCAATACTTATGTCCGAGCAAATGCTATAGTAATAAGCTAGAAAAAACCTGCTACTATCATCTATTAACCATAAGTAATCTACCTGTGGTCTTTCACTGGCTTGCCTGCATCTATTATTTAATTATAGGTATATATGCAATATAGGACACTCTGGTATATTAAATGTCTTGGTACTCAGGGGCTCTTAACATGAGTTCCACAGAACCCCACCTTTCCCAAAAGAGTCAAGAGTCAGATCAGTACTTCAACATAATTAGTTTCCTTCTAATCTTATGTATTTTATGCATCTAAAATGGTCATTCATAGCAAAAAAGATTAATAATCCCAGCTTGAAACCATCATAATAAATTAAAACATTACTGGTTAAAGACAAAATAACATCAAAGAAATCAAATTAGTTCAGTTCTAACCTGCACAGAATAAAACATAACAATTTTAAGTGTAAATTTTGCTGTGTTTTGACAAATTTATGTAACCACCACCACAATAACAGAACTTTTCTGTCATAAAAAGTTCTCTTATATGCCTTTCCAGTCAATCTGTCACCTGCATCCCTGGCTTTGCTTTCTGTCAGTACACATTAAAATTTATGAAAAATAAAGTATATTCCGTAAACTGTTTTTTACTTATAGAAACAATTTTTAAAAATAATTTGTATGGTAATAGCATTCCTTAAATTGAAACCTCAAATTACTACATCAATAATTGATTCTAAAACATCTCCATGTAACTCACCTTATAAAAAAAGTACTGTACAAGGGTAGCTATTCTAATATAATAAAAATGACCATGAACAAAAAGCAATTTGGAGAGGAATTTAAATCTAGCTATTGCATAGTCACTGTTTCTTGCAGCCTGTCTTCCTTCTTTACCCATAATTCCTGTAAGAAAGGGGACAAAAAGGCAAGTTTATTGATAACTGGTAAGTGTAATTTTCATGATATAGGTGCAAATATGTTAACTATCTATAGCAGCTGAACCCAGACCTAGGATAACTGTACCCTAATATAGAGCAGATAGCAGATTCTCAACCATTTAAAAAGTCATTCTACTGAAATTAAATATGTAATACAAAGTTATGATATATACCAGGCATGTAACATCAATTTTCAAAGAATCAGAATATAATATCAAATAAAATTTATATAACAATAATATTGAAAGTTCAAGATCTAATAAGAACATCAATTTTTACGCTAATAAGCACTAAGTACTAGTTAATAGATTTCTAATGGAAAGAATGCTATAAAAGCTTTAACTTCATTATTTCCAATGAATATAAAAAATACTGTAATTGAATAATCAAACCTAGCAAAAATGAGCATGTCTGTTTTAAAACTTTCATCCATAACTCAAACAGAATGTGCTTTTTAAAAGAAAAGTATACAGTATCATCTGAAATCAGTATATAATTTTATCTGATAAATATGGAGTACTTTTTTTAGGTATGATAATCCTTTAGGTTTTAAAAGAGTTACTGGCCAAGGTTGTTTTTTCAATCTGGAAGCAGCTCTGAAAAACTGTTTTTCAAAATTAAAAATTTTAATTTTTGTAATAAAAGGATCAAAATGTTCCAAAGTGCATAGGTAAAGACAATCACCTATATTCACAACACCTAGGGAAAAATCACTATTTTTGATCTATATCCTTTTAGAATTTTTCTTTCTGCATATTTTGTGTGTGTGTTTAATATATATACAAACAAGTATACAAAAATGAGATTATTTGTTTTGTAATCTTTTGTCTCTCAAAACATGTTTATAATATACATCTTTGTCAACATATTCATTTATTTCCTTAAAAGAAATTTGGGATGCATGATTGCCAGGTCAATTGGCACATATTTAAAATTTCGTTATAATTAATAATGCAGAGTGTACCAATTTACACTCCCACTAACATTGCACAAGAGCATTTGTTAATCTATACCTTTACCAACTCCAGGATTTATTAACCTTTGTAACTCTGTCAATCTGATAGGCAATTTAAACTCGTATTTTTTATTAGTGAGACTGAATACTTTTTCATGCATTTAGTTTTCATTTTTTAAAAATTTTTAATTAAGTTTATTGGGGACAGTTTTCATTTTAGACTTCTCCTTTTCTGACAACTGATAGCTCTGATCTTTCCACATATTTCTACTAGAATGTTTGTCTTATTCTCCTTAATTTGTTAAGACCTCACATACTAAGAATATTAAGACTTTGTCATCTATTTTGCAAGTATTCTTTACTACTTTGCCTTTAAAATTGTTTTGGGGGAGTATTTACTTCTGTCGCACATATTAATCATTTTCTTTATAGTTTCATGCCTTGTTTGGTTTTGTACATAAAAGACCCTTACATATCTCAAATTACAGGATTATTCATTAAATTCTTGTTACTTTTTATGGTCTTTAACAAATTATTTAAATCCTTAATCCATCTGTTATTTGTTTTGCTCATAAGCAATGGAAAGAGATCCAACCTCAAAATTTTCCAGATAACTAACCAGTTTTATCAGTATTTTTTTTTTACCAAGTAATTTGTTTCCCTACTCATCCAAAATATCTCCTTTGTTATATTCTCAATTTCCAGATGTCTGAATCTATTCTATTCACTGGTCTGTCTGTTATCATAGTAGAATCAAAATTGTCATAAATACTGTAAGCTTTTTATGCTTTAATATACAGTATATGAAGATATTACCAAAGTGTTATTTTTAAAATAAAGTTAATTATCCTAAACAGGAAGCAGTTGACTTGAGAGATACACTAGAAATAGTAGACCCAATAACTACTCATCACAGGACATTAGAGAGATAATTCCAGAACAGGACTAGTTTAACTCTAATTCTAAAAATTTATCCGTTAATGAAAAACCAATACTTTTCTCTTTTGCTTCTGTAATTGTATAATAAACTCATTGAGGAAGACAGGTCAGAACACGGTTTAAATGGGAAATGATTGATAATTTAAATAAAATAATATTAGTATTCTTAATCCAATAAAAATTCAATACAAAAAGAGACAGGACATTAGAATAAAGGTTGTTTAATTAGAAAATTATTTGAAAATTTATATTATAGTTTGGTGTAATTTCCTGTCTCTAAGATTATCTTTAAAATGACTTGTAGAATCTTTAGACTGACAAATAACAACATTCCAAAACAAGAACTGAAAACTGTAAGGGCAACTATATAAATCACAAATTTAAAGTTTAAGAGTGGTAAAAATTATGTGTGAAAGTACTTTAAAAGGTATAAATGAGCAACAAATGAATAGGACAAACAGAGACTCTTAGACATGGTCTATAGACTAGTGGTTACCAGAGGGTAGGTGGTGAGGGGAAGGGAAAGTAGACGAGGTAAAGGGGGTCAAATATGTGGTGACAGAAAGAAATCTAACTGTGAGAGGTGAACACACAGTGTAAATATATACATGCTTTATTGTTAAAGTGTACAGCTGAAACTTACTGGATTTCATTAACCAATGTCACCGTAAAAAAGTAAAAATAAAAAATAAATTAAATAAAAAGAAAAGGTATAAATGGCATAATAGTTACTTTATTATGAAGGAGAATTGGCAAAGATAAAATTCACTAAGATGGTATTAATTTCCTTGAAAATTTGGAATTAAAATGTCCTAAATATTGGGCTAATTATAATAGGCTTCTGATGGGGATATACTATGGTATATTATCATTTTGTATTTAATTTTCATTCATGTATTTGTATTGCACTTTAGCCTACAAAAGAAAAATTCTAAATCCCCAAATAATTATATCAACTTTAAAAGTTCAGGAAAAAAAATCAATCACCTATGCCAACATGTGCTTCTTGTATCATGCTTACATCATTAGCACCATCGCCAACAGCCAATGTAATAGGTTTCTCAGGTGAAATTTTTATCAGTCTTATTACCTGAAAGACATACAACTAATTAGTTAACTATGATAAAATTTCAAATTTCTTGTATTTATATAAAGTCACTTATCTGAAATGACTGTTGTAGGAAGTAGAAAAATTTAATTTTATATTAGATAATATGCACTGGGGTTCACTTTTTGAGGTATGTCTCCACTAACATGATAGAAATGTCTTTCAGAAATGACACTGCAAAACAATATTATCTTGGATTTTAAGATGGGAAGCAAGAGTTTTTAAATACAGCTTAAATTTGTAAAAAGCTTAATAATAATTGTGTAAAAATAATTACATTTAAAAGAACTTTGTCAGGCCAAATTTTTTCTTTCAAGAAATTCTTTTCATATGATATAGAGGAAAGATAATTATTTTCTCCTGTAATAAAATTAAAAATTTTTTTTAAAGCAATCAAAATTCAATTCAACAAAATAAATGTTTCTTTGGAATTCTTGAATATACTTTCATAAAGAACCTAAGCATTAGCTTTACTTGGTCTCTAGTTTTAATATCCATAGACAGGGGGATATAAATTATAATATAGGTGTTGTAATAAAATTTCATGAAGCCAAAAAAAATTGAATGTCTAATTTATTAGACCTATATGTGAAAGTCAGTATTTAGAAGGACATTTCAAAGGATATATGTGAGAATACAGACTAAGACCTCAAATTACAAATCAGAAAGTATAAAAAATATTTGTATAGGCTTTTACTTGAATTATAGCTGAAATTAAAATATTTTCTGTATATAGCTTCATATCACAAGTTAACTAGTTTTTCAATTCCTTACTTAAGTTCTATTTGCTACTTATCACTTCATGATTTACTATTTATCACTTCATGAGAATGCAAGAATAAGCAGATATCAACAGAACCATTTGAAAGGACAGATGAACTGAAATCTTACAGGCTCCCTCACTAGTAAAAACTAACTGGTGAAACTTTATCACAGTTCAATTTTACATCTCAGGAAAATCACAAATTGCTGCTCATCACAGACTTTCTAGGTTATTATGAACAGTTGAAGTTTTTACATTCACTCTGAAAATTCCAAAGGTTTAATGTACACGGGTAAAAGTCATAATATGAGAAGTGACTGACTCCTAGCAAGATTCATATACTGCATGCCACTAAATGGAATAAATTATTAACCTAAAAAAATATTTTTAGATCTATATATCTTTTTGGAACTTTTTATAACGTACACATACCTTGGCTTTCTGCAGTGGTGCCATACGACAGCACAATACAGCTGAACAATTTCTGCAAACATCCATAAATAGTTTTTCGTGCTCCCTGAGTGCAAGAGATAGGCTGGTCCCATCCACCACTAGCCCATGCTGAATCACATGATCCTCTGTAATTCTGAAAGAGAAAATAATTATATCCTCTACAGGGCACTTTGAAGTCATATTATTTACATTTGCTTAGTAAACAAAAGATTCTTTCCGAAAGATGGTCATTCATCCAGACTTTACTATTAGAAAACTGATATGTCAGGGAATGAACTGAGTTGTATTATCTGAAAGTTAAGAACTGAGAGTGGCTGATACAATGAGTAAAACATGATATTCAATTTTATAATGAACTGATACATAGTCACTATATTTTCTAAAATGTGAATTATAACACATAATTTGAGTATATTCTCCCAAATTATATGAAAAGTCTTACAAAAATAAAATTATTACATTTAACAAATCCTAATTTTAAAAAATTAAATGAAATCGACAATGTTCAGGAAAATTCAAGAGCTAGATTCACCTATGTGTAAGTAGGAAGGAAAGGAATGAAAGTATCAGAATTCTCTCTTCATATTAACCCCTACAATGAACTGCAACACCAGATATTACTATAATACCTCCCTTGTGGTCATATGCTATACGAGTACTACTCAAAGTATGGCAGCTGGGCAAACTATTTGTTGCCAAGAAGAGACAAGAAGTTTGTATCAGTATGTAAACAATTACATTGCCAGGCACACTATTTTGTTCAACTATTTCTCCCCACTCTCCATTTCATAATGATTCTCTTGATGAAAGAAGCAGTGCAGAGATGCACATTGTTACTGAGAAATATCCATTTTAATTTTATTTTTTCCAGCTTTATTCCGATATTACAGACATGTAACACATGTAAGTGTAAGGTGTGCAATGTGATTTGACAGACATATATACTGTAAAATGATTACCACAATGGTTAGTTAACACTTCCCTTCCCACAATATCATTTTTTTTTTTTTGTGGTGAAAACATTTAAAATCTACTCTCAACTTTTAAATAATACAGTACTGTTAATAATAGTCACCAGCTGTATATTAGATCCCCAGAACTTATTCGTGTTGTATGTAAGCTGGAAATTTTTGTACCCTTTGACCATCATCTCTCCATTTACCCCATATCCCAGCCCCTGGCAACTATTATTCTACTCTCTATTTCTGTGAGTTTGGCTTTTTTAGATTCCACATAGTAGTTATTTGTCTTTCTCTGACTTATTCTACTTGGTACAATTCCCTCAAGGTCCATTCATGTTGTCATAAAAGGCAAGATTTCCTTTTTTTTATGGCTGAATAATATTCCTTCACACACACACACACACACACACACACACACACACACACACACATTTTCTTTACCTATTCACACATCATATGGTTGTTTCCATTCTTGCCTATTATAAATAATACTGCAATAAATAGGAATGCAGATATGCCTTGAAGATAGAAATTTCATTTCCTTTGGGTATATACCCAGAAGTGAGATTGCTTAATCATAAGGTAGCTCTATTTTTAATTTTTCGAGGAATCTCTAAACTATTTTCCATAGTGGCTCTACCTGCCATTTTTAAGTGAGAAGAGTATTAAATAAGTAATAATCTATAAAAACTAAACATATATTGATAGACGTTAGTCTTCCAAAACTAAATATAAAGGGTTTTGAAATCAAAAAAGACATTTATAAATTAAAATCTTTCATAGTATGCCTAATCACTACTGTGTTGCACTGTAACTAATAAGTGTAAACAATTCACATTTACAACATAAATTTTTTAAAAATGTATTTTTTCCTTTATTAAATTCTCCGAAATCTGAAATCAGCACCTACACTGTTTTTCCTCCCTATAGGGCAAACTTTACTTGGCAACCTGTGCTGCCTCTAATATGTGCAGCTTAAGCACCGCCCAAGCACTTAATGCCAGAAGAAGTAGCAACCAAGAGTGAGACAGATGAGATCAGTTGTCCTAGGGAACCTTCCCAAGGCACATTAAATTAGGTTTTCCTCTGGAAAGTCTTCATAAGTCAGCATATTATCTCATAATCCATGGAATAATATTTATGAAATATAGAAAAGCACCTCACAGTTCTGGCACATAGTAGGCAGCATCTGCTCATCTCTGTAGCCTCATGTCTCAATACTTTCCATACCCTCTCTTCTCTATTCTATTCTCTGGCCATACTTAACTACTACCAATTCCTTGAATGAGCTTCTCACTCACCTCTGGGAATGTGTATACACTACTCCCTTTGCTTCTAGGTGTCACTCTCTAACCAGTTAACATTTCATCTCTTAGGAGACAACACAGTCATGAGTTCTTCCACAGAGCTGTGTCTAGGCTAAACTTGTCTAGGCTAAACTGTTCTTGTCTTGGTTACAATTCAGTTGTGATAGGTCTATGACAATATATTTACTTTGGTTTTTCCCACATATTTGGAAAGTAAACAATATATAAACAAACAACTTATATGAGGGGTCCCCACCCACATTACTGGTCTGTGGCCTGTTAGGAAATGGGCCGCACAGCAGGAGGTGAGCAGCAAGAGAGCGTGCGAAGCTTCATCTGTATTTGTAATCACTCGTGAGCACTAGCATCACTGCCTCAGCTCCACCTCAGATCATCAGGTGGAGCTCTGGCATTAGATTCTCATAGGACCACGAACTCTGTTGTGAAGAGTGCATGCAAGGGACCTAGGCTGAGTGCTTCTTCTGAGAATCGAATGCCAGATGATCTGAGGTGGAGCCGAGGCGGTGATGCTAGCACTGGAGAGCAGATGCAAATATGGATTAACATTAGCAGAGAGGTTTGACTGCATAGAGACCATAATAAAGCAATTGCTTGCAGACTCAATATCAAAACACTATCAGTGAGTGGCAACTGACAATTAAGGTGCATCTGGTGGCAGGTTGTATAGTGGCAAGTGAATTGATGTACTTCAATTATATAGCTGCAGCTGGTGGCAGGCTTTAAGTCAGAATCTGACACTTATTTTAGTCCGCGCATGGCCTGCACATTATTTTATTTACCACTTCTGTCCATGCCTCCTTCTCACACTGCGCACTTGTCTCAGTTAGTTTTGGTTTTGGTAAGGCCACGAGCTAACTCTAGCCAAAATGAGTAAAAAATGTCACTGGGGAGCCTCCTTGAAAAGGGAGAAAGACCCAATGATGAGACAGCAGAAGACTGTAAGACTGCCAACAAAAAGAAAGCTGCATTTAAAAGAAAATATCAAGAGTCCTACTTAAATTATGGGTTCCATTGTAACAGGTGATTCACATTCTCCAAGCCCACTTTATATAATATGTGGTGGCTAGCTATCCAATGAAGCCATGAAACCCTCAAAACTGCTTTACCACATAGAGACCAAGCACCTTGTATTAAAAGACAAACCTTTGGAGTTTTTCAAAAGAAAAAAACTTGAACACGAAGAACAAAAGCAATTGTCGAAGGCCACCACTTCATCAAATGTGTCTGATCTGAAAGCATCATTCTTAGTGGTTAACCACATTTCTAAAAGCCCTTTACTATTAGTGAAAAGTTGATCCTGCCTACTGCTAAGGACATTTGTCGTGAACTTTTTAAGAGAGGCTGCAGTTCAAAAGATGTGTTCCTCTTTCCGCTAGCACCATAACTTGAAGAAATGATGAAATAGCAGAGGATACTGAGACCCAACTGTTAGGATTAATGAGTCACCATGGCATGCAATCCAGGCTGAGAGTAAAGTGCTTTTTATAATGTAATAATAATAGAAATAAAGTATGTAATAAATGTACTGCGCTTGAATCATCTTGAAAACACCCCACCCCTACCAAGGTCTGTGGAAAAACGGTCTTCCGTGAAATTGGCCCCGGTGCCAAAAAGATTAGAGACCACTGCCTTATATGACTGTGTTCCAAATGCTTTGATAGGAGATAATCAATATAAGTTTGTGAAGGAATGTATATATAAACTAAAGCTTTTGACGGTATGGAATTCTTTGCTCTATCCAAGATTTTTAGAATAGATACTTTCTGAAATTCTAAAATCAAAACTCTATAGATTTATGTGAAATTCATTGCCTTTATAATGCAACATCTATGTAAAAAGGGAAATGAACAATATCCATGATCTTAATGGGTTTACTAAAAGTACATATATATAGGACTTAAAAAAATGCTAATACAAATAATTATCTTTAGATGGTTGTACTGTTATTAATCATCATTACCTTCTTGATCATTTCCAGTATTTTTTAAATGAACATTTATTACTTTTATAATCAGAAATGATATTTTAGAAGAAACATATAAAGTAAAATGACTGAGCAATTAATTTGTTTTAGGGAGTTCTCTTTGACATTATGGTAATGACATGTTTAAGCAGCCAATGGTGTTGGCACTGCTCCCAAACTGTAGTATAACTATCTAGATTAATCATCTTTTTGAACTCAATCAAAGAACCTTCTGAGAGCTGTATTCTTTAAAACATCTCTTAAATAAATTTTTCTTTGATGAAATCCAGAGAATAGCACCACATCAATGCCTGTATAACAAATGTAAATAAAACACTGAATGTATGTTGACAAACTGTGGCATTGTCTTTTCACATTTGTTTTTCTGCCCTACTATTACAACACTGCAAATGACAGGAACCTGTAGGAGACTTAAATATCTACATACAAGCAACCCTGATACTTACACTAAAGTACTCCTAAAATAATTGAAAAAAATTAGACTGTGTTAAAAGGGGGCTCCTAAAGTTGATCTGTATATAAAAACTAGATTTAAAAAAAGAGAATGAATTTAGAGTACAAATACTTATGTAATTATCTTTGTAGAGTAAAGTGCAGGCTGAGTTCTCAGTTTGGTCATGTGACCTAAATCAAGGGTTGGCAAATGTTTTCTGTAAAGGGCCAAAAGTAAATATTTCATTTGTAGGTTTTATGAGCTAAAAGACTAAATTAAGGCTATAATGTAGGTACTTATATTACAAACAAATTTTGACAAAATTTTTACTAATTAAAAAATGTAATAGTAGCAATTGAGTATAATTTTTTCAATACTACAAGTCTAGTAATGAGAAAAATGGAAATTTTGGGGGGGAGGGCAGAAATAGCATTTTGCTTAATTAGGGTCCAAATTTAATGTTCCCTATCATCAAAATCAATTGCAAATGTCCATCTGTTAATGATGATCTGTAAGGAGATTTTACATTTTAATACAATATCTGTAATGAGATTTTATTTCATCTTTAAATATGTCTTTTCAAACAGGGGAGCATATTAAAGTGTCACTGAGTAATACGATGCTTTGCATCTAAATTGATAGTAAAATAATTAACACTACTGTGCTTTAAAAGTGTGACTTTAAAAGTCTATTTTTCTTATTTGGACATAATGAATAAACATTAATAAAAATATAGTAGAATGTCATATGGCAATCTGTGTGGCACTCAAAACACTATTGAGGTATGACTGTGTCACTAATTTTTAGTATATCAAGCAGCAGTGAGAAAACATAAAAGTGCTCTATAAGGTCTCTGCTGTAACTACTCAACTGTGCTGCTGTAGTGCAAAAGTGTTCACCAAATGCTTTTTTATGTGTTCCAATAAAACTTTATTTACAGACACCAAAATTTGAATTTCATATAATTTCCACAACATTAAATATTATTCTTTGGATTATTTTCCATCCATCAAAAATATGTAAATTATTTTGGGCTCATGGTCTATAAAAAACAGGCAGTGGGCCATAGTTTGCTTATCCCTGAACTCTATGATCCAGAGAATTATATTCTTACCTTCTGGCAAGCTGCCTCAATTGTTCAGCACATTCACTGTCTGATTTCTGGTTTATAAGTTCAAGGATATTCATGGTTCTGTGAAAATGTCCACATGATAAACTCACACTAACAGCTGTTTCATGTTTATCTCCAGTAAGTACCCATACTTTGATACCAGCCATTCTCAATGCTTCAATAGTTTCTCGTACTTTATCTTGTAGTCTAAAAATAAAATTAAAAACAACAACAACAACAACAACAAAATTTGTAGTAGAAAGTACTTTTTTGGGCTGTATTTTAAGTATAAACCACAAAGTACAAGTAAGTTCTGGACTTCTTGACCTAGGAATGTTACAGTAATATTGAGTTCAGTAAACTAACTGAAATTTTTTCCCATTAGGTAAAAAACAAATAAACAAATTAGTGATCATCTAGTTAATATAAAAATCTACAACCTCCTATTTTAAGAGTATATCTTCAAAGTTGGTTTGTACAGAACCAAATTAAGTATATGGTCTTCATAACCTATTTTATTAGAAAATCTTAAATTTCAAATTAGAAGATTTTTCTCTTTTTTTTTGAAGGAAATCTCTCATATCAGTGGTTCAAAAATTAAAGTGTGGATAATAAAGAGACTACATAACTTTGGGTGAGTCTCAGAAATCTCATGAAAATAACTGAAAAGTAAATGAAAATCTAGATTAAAATATGCAAAAACCTGTAGATCTAGGAGGCTGAGGAAAACAGTAGGATTAATTTGTAAAATTCAATTTAATTGAAAGAATTCAATTCAAGAAACTGTGAAACTCACATTGAGATTAATGCTGAAGAACAAAGATAAAAAATAAATGCAATTCAAGGAATTCACAGGCTTAAATAGAGGAAAGTCTCTAAAATAATAACAACGTACTGACATAAGGATAACATAGAACTACCTACAAAACATGGAGACTTCACAAAAAACAGAAGTTTTAATCCTGTTAGGAGTAAGAAAAAAAGTCTTACTGAGTGGTGGTAACATCTGAGCTGTACTGTAAGAATAGGTATTCACATATAGATAAGGGAAGAGTGATCAAGCAGAAGACACAGCCTTGCCCAGGAACAAAGCCACAAAACAGAAACAGTTGTTTGGAGAAGATCTACAGACAGTTTGGTACTGCTGAAGCATAAAGTGGAAGGAGGCAGTGGTGGGAAGTGAGGCTGGAGAACTAAGCAGATGTTTAAATTCTTTGTATGTGACACACTAAGACACATTCTAAATATTCAAGTCCATAAGCAAAATTATACATAGCTAGATTTTTTTCCACCTATTTCAGGTATCTGGCTAGAAGAAAAATTGCATATACTAACTAGGAAAAAGTAAGGCTTTAACTCTCTATTTTGATTTTAAATATTATAGGGTGTTAATAAATGGAATTTGTCATAAGTTAGAAACACTTGGCTAAAGAAATTCTTGTGAGAGAAAAATAACATAGCCTATTTATATGATACTTACCTGTCTTCTACTGCTGTAGCTCCAAGTAATATCAGATCTTTCTCTATGAACTGGAAGACATTTGCCAATTTCTCTTCCCGTTGCTGCAAGGCAGTCCTGGCTTCAAATAAGCGTCTATCTATTACCTCATACTCTTTAGATGTTAATTGTCTATAGGCCATGCACAGAGTTCTTAGTCCTTTCTAAAACAGAAAAATTAAAGACAAAAATTGAACAAAAATAACTAATGGGGAATCAAGCAGTCAATGAAATAAACTGAAGACTCTATTACTAAAAATCAATTAAAAATAATTTAAAAGGTCCTATCATCTCTTGATAGGAAATAAATGAAGTGTCACAAAACCCTAGTGATCTGAGTTATGAGACACATATTATCATAACTTTTTAATTTCTGATGAGTTCTTAAAAAGTTGCTCAAAATAATTAAGGTCATTAAATTATAGAATATTATAGCCTAGATAGGATCATAAAGATGATCTTATCTGTGGTTTTAAAACTTTTACCTGGAATGCCAGAGGTTCTATAATGGCACCTTTAGGACTGTCAAGACAGAGGCAGCCCCAGATGCTACTCCTCTGTTTTAACCATTACAAATCCACTTTTATCTACTTCATAAGATTTATTTTTAAGCAAAGGGGACCATAATTTCCTGAGGGTTTATGATATGACAAATATGCAATTTAAATACAGAAGTTTGTAAGGTGGCCATTATCAAACAAACAATATTTTGGGGAGACAATGATGTTTTAAAATTGTTATCATTATATCTTTACTGGTGAACTGGAATCATACAAAATTTAGGAATATGAAATTGATTATCGGATTCTACTGGGTTCAAATTTTCCTTATGGTATTAGCATCTGAAAGTTGTTATCTAAATCTAAAAACTTATAAAAGTTCCTTTCCTTGCTCTATCTTTTCCTCAAGAAAACGTGAAATACATGTTCTAATAACAGAACTTGGAAAGGTAGATTTTAAAGTAGTATATGAAACTATTTAGCAGATTTCTAAATATTGACATTCCTTGATTTACAAATGACCCGCACCTATAAATAACTGTCTTAAATGATAAAGGACCATGAGAGTTATTAATATGTGAAATTAATTCATTCTAAAACAAAAATTTATTGAGTGCCAACCATGTGCCAACACTGTTCTGAACATTAATATAAATGATAGCAAGGGAGAACAATGTCTTTACTCTCATGGATGTTACAGTATGGTACATGAACCAGATCATAAAAAATTAGAGAACAAGTAATGGGAGAAAAGAAACCATAAGTTAGTAAAGGAGGCTGGTGAGCAGAGATGAGTATGGAGCATACACTTACAGAAAAGCAGAAATGAGAGAGTATGATGAGGTCCTAAGATTGAGAGAGCACTGCTTAATAATTTTCCTGTTCACGTGAATTGTGGCACTTTGTTTCTGTAAGATTCTCCTATATATTTTTTATTAAGAGAGACATAATTCATATACCATAAAATTCACTTCTTAAAAAGTATAATTCGATAATTTTTAGTGTATTCAAAGAGTTGTGCAATTATTACTACTATTTAATTCCAGATCATTTTCATCACACCCAAAGGAATCGCATATCCATTAGCAGATACTTCCCTTTCCTTACTTCCTCCAGGCCCTGGCAACCACTATGAATTTGCTTATTTGGGGTATTTCATATAAATGGAATATGTGGCCTTTTGTGACTAGCCTCTTTCACTCAGCATAATCTTTTCAAGGTTCATCCATGTTGTGGCATATATTAGTACTTCATTTCTTTTAATGGCCAAATAACAGTCCATTATATGGATACAACACATTATTTAACCCATTTATTGATGGACATTAGGGTGTTTCCATTTTTTAGCTATTAGGAATAATGGTGCTAAGAAGAACATTTGTGTACAAGTTTTTGTGTAGACATGTTTTCAATTCTCTCGAGTGTACACCTAGAGTGGAACTGCTGGTCATATATTAACTCTAGATTACTCTATGTTCTATAAAGAACTGCCAAACTACTTTCTAAAGTGGTTATATCATTTATATTTCTACCAGCAATGCATGAGGGTTCCAGGTTCTCCACATCCTTGGGATTACCTGTATTCTTTTAGTCACACGCCCCTTGTAATATAGTAATTGGAGTGGTCCTTGCAGCCAGAAGTGCCCTGACTACAATAGGTTCAAAGAGAAGACTTATATTTTAGAAGGTTAAAAGTAAAATTTTAACCAAAGAATGCAACCACATAATATAAAAGAACTGCAGAATTTCTATAATTTTGATAAATTATTAATGCAAAAATGAAACCCTAAATCTTTCAAATATTACCTTTTAGTTTATAAAATCATAGAAATTTGCACTTACCAAAGCAAATTCATCTACATGAATTCTGGTTTTTTCTATTTCTCCACCTATACATTTAGGAAGAATTGATGATTCAGCTCCTTTAGCAAATAAAAACTTCTCACCTAAAAAGAAAAATGAGTTATCAAGCTCTTAATGTTAGATAAATAAAAATTCATGAAAGTTTAGGTTGGTTACCTGAAGGTGCTTGAACAATTACACTCATTCTCCTACGATCTGAATCAAATTCCAGAATATGAAGCAGTTTGTACCTAAGGAAAAAAATAAGAAAGATAAAACTTTACTTTTTTGAATAATGTTAAGTAAATGTTTAGAAAGAATCCCTATAAAAGATAAAAATGGTTAATTTAGTACAAGAAATTAATCTCTACATTTTCAAGATAACTGGTTATGAGTCACTACTAACAACACAAGCTAGAAACAGAAGAAAGTGACATTTATTGAATATTTACTAAATGCCATGTACTTGACATATCTTATGTCATTTAACACCCATGAGAACCAAAGGAGGTAGGTCTTATTTCTTTTTATCAATGACTATTAAAATCAGAAAGGTTAAATAATTGGACTAAAGTCAAATCAGTTTGTGAGTGGCAGGCCAAGGACTGGGATCCAGATCTGCCCAACTCCATGTTTTTCCTAGCAACACACTTGAGAAATATCACACTCACATTAGTAACAGAGGCTCATTATAGCAGTGATTCTGAACCTGAGATAGGGTATATATGTGTAGGTGGGGAACAAATGCTTTTCTAGAAAGCTGTAAAAAACTTTGTGTGGATGGGTTACATGTGGCCTGAAAAGTCTTCTAGATAAATTTATACAATAATGTACCTATGCAATGCTTTCCCCATCTCAAAGAAAAACACTGATTGGAATGATCATTTTGAAGTTGACGGAACGAGCCAGAAAGGCTCCCACATGAAAACAGCCAAAGAATGGGCTCTATTTAGTTTGGAAAAGCATAGTTTGGAACCGCACAGCTGGAGCTGAGATATGACTGGAATTGATAAAACCATGAAAGATATAAATAATGGACTAATTTATCAAACAGTAGAAATAAGACATCTGTTTCTTAATGTTTAAAAGATAAAATCGTAGAAAATATAAAGTAGAAACTTATGAAAATCATTACCCCAGAAGTGTCTAAAAATAAACATATAAGTAAATTAAAAACCATTAAGCTAAAAAACAGATGGAAGATTCAGAACAGAATACGGTTATTACTGTGATGAGATACAATGCAATACTGACATCATTCTAGAGCAGAGGTCAGTAAACTTTTTCTGTAAAGGGCCAGATAGTAAATATTTTAGGCTTTGTAGGCCATATATGATCTCTACTGCATATTCTTTTTTTTAAACAACCCTTTAAAAATGTCATGTAGTTTGTGGGCTGTACAAAAACAGGCTGAAGGCCAGATTTGTACATATCTGGGCCATAGTTTACCTATTTCTGTTCTATACTAAATATTTAATATATAGAAAAATCCAATATAGAAAAAAAATTCACCGTTCCAGTTTTCCAAGTGTTTTAACTTCCATAGTTTCTTCAGTATTGCCAATAAACACAATGCCAATTCTAGGAAGCAAAAGGAGAAATTTTATAAGATTTAAGGAATGATATTTCACATTTCACACTACGTCATTATACCTTAGCTTGAATAAAAACATTTAAAACATTAAGATTAAAATATTTTTAAAATATTTCTTTCGAATATAGCATTATTTTTAAGAACTTGAAGGCCCAAAACAATACACACATAAGTATTCTCATAATTACATTATTCATATTTCATAGTAACCAGATTTTTAAAGAAGCCACTTCAAAATATAACTATTATAAGCTAACAAAATGAATGACAAATTTCAAATTCTCATTAAAAATTTAAAATATACTTCTACATATATGTTTATGAATTGTCTGATCATTTAAAATAATTTTCTAGTATTTCACATTTTTATTTAAAAGGTGTTTCTCTGAAGATTTGGAGATTAGACTAAATTACCTTGCAGCAGCTTCCACTAGAGCTTTTTCATCTGGTGAAGATGCATAGTATTCCAACTGGGAGGGTGTAAGGCTGGATTGCCAGGGACCATCACCAATGCCATCAGTCTGAACATTACTAATCTGTACAGTGTGACAGAGGCTGACTGCTTTAAAGAAGAGATCATGTTCTTTAATCTGTAGAAACAATAATTAATATTCACACCATAAATGTCATTCTCAAATAACCTTTAGGAAACCAGAAACATAATTCTAAAATATGCCAATAAATACAGTTAATAATTTGACAACCTAAGATCTAGAATAAGAATGCTACAATCTTAAATTGCTTAAATAATAGCTGGTTGCTTCTGACTCCAAAGAATAAAATGTCATATTTGCGTCAACTTTTTAGGAAGCATAAGCAAATTATAAGTAAAGGTGAAAACTCTTTTGTGGAAGACGTGATGCCTCAAAAAGTATTAAATAAATTTAAACTCTATTTTTCATCAAAGTCTTCTTTACTTCATGGCAGTAGGGCTTTCCTTAACTTAGTTCCTTTTAAACACCTAGCGAACTAAGACAAACACATATTAAGTGACAAATTAAACTGGGTTATGACTACAAATTCTCAGTATTCAATCAGATATACATTTCAAATATATATTCCTTGCCCCACTAACACAAAGAGAACTATTTTAGTTTATTAATTTAAAAATTGCTTACTAGTTCAGTTTCATTTTCAGGACCAGTTCTAAAAGAAGAACTGGATGTAAGATGGGATATGTTGTTAAGATGAGATAAACTACTTAGATAAGTTAAGTTTCCTTCTGAAGAGTCTGGTGTTGGTCCTTCGGATACAAGTCTACCATTGATTTCTTGGTATTTTATGCCATTAATTGAACATTCCCGAAAATGCATCTCATTTTCTGTCAGTGTACCAGTTTTATCTGTAAACACATACTCCACCTAGAGATAGAAAACAAAAGAAAACAAATCTTTGTTTTCATGGTCCTATGTTAAACAAAAAAACCTTGACCTCTGTCTCCTAAAGTCAAGTTTATCTATTAAAATTGATATACTATACTGATTCTTATAATCTAAGCACAATTAAATAATTAAAGATGCCATGGAAACTAAACAGGGTACCAGAAAGTACTTTAAATCAATATACACTTTGAAGTTTGTAGCATCTTTAGGTTCATGTTCATCTGTAGTTGACTTACAATGTGATATTAATACTTCTTTTCTAACTCCTGGATAAGGTGGTTTTAAGTAATAGGACTCAAGAATGATCTCTGAGCAAGGGTCGAAGGGATGCTTAATTAACCCAGGATGTGAAAGGGTATCTGGTCCAAGAGAAATAATACAGAACTGGGAACAGAAATACAAAATGACAGCAGTCCAAGAAGTCAGAGGTGGGAATTTGTCTAAAATAGATTGACAAACTAAAACTGAGGGCAGGAAACAAACTCGGTGAAAAGGAAAAATGTTTAAAAAAAGAAAATATTTTAAAAAGTAGATGAAGACAAATAATTTTATTACTCTTTGAGACTAATTCTAGAATATTAACCCTAAAAGAAGGTAGGTCCACAGAGAGAAGAATGAACTAGCCAAGTCTTGACGCAACTAGGATTATGATGAGAATTTAATTATTGCTATAATAATTTGAGGAAGACATCATTTAAAAAGAGAGGTAGCTATCACCACCAGTAAAAAAAAAACACCGAAAAATTATAGACCAAATATCTCTTATGAAAATAGATATAAACCAAATCCAGAAACATATAAAAAGGATCATACACCATGAACGTGTGGGATTTATCTCTGGAATGCAAGATTGGTTCAACATATGATATTCAATCAGTGAAACCCACCGTAAGAATAATAACATGGTACTTGGTCCTTTATTCTATTAATAAAATGATTATCTTAATAGATATAGAAAAAGCATGACAAAATCCAATACTCTTTCATGATAAACACTCAACAAACTAGGAATAGAAGGCTACTCCCTCAACCTGATAAAATGTATCTACAAAAAACCCATAGTTAGCATCATATTTGGTGAAAGACTGACTGCTTTCTGCCTAAGTTCAGGAATAAGAGAAAGATATCTGCTCTTGCCACTGTTATTCAACATTGTACTGAAGGTTCTAGCCAGGATATTAAGCAAGAAAAAGAAACAAAAGCTATTCAGATTGGAAAAGAAGAGATACAACTTTCTCCATTTACAGATAACATGATGTTGTATGTAGAAAATCTTAATGAACCCACTAAAAAATTATTTAACTAAAAACGAGTTCAGCAAGATTGCAGAAAACTTCTATACCCATGCTGTGTAGAAATATGTACATGAAATGAATATATCTCAAACAGGTACCAGCTACCCCAGGTCATCACATGTGTTATAAGCCACACCCATCCACATCTGGTGTTACAATTCTCCTTTTATTTTTGGATAACCTTCCTTCCAATATTTCACAATAACATACAAGTTGAAATATCTGATGGTCACTCCCACAAGTTATTAGATTCCTATCTTTTTATTTTAAATGTCACAAAGTTTTTGTTGTATCCTTAAATCCCATTTTCTCATAAACCCTGTGGTTTTTACTATGCAATTTTGCATAGCACAATGATTTTCAGGAATACATATGTCACATTATAGCAGAGTTGACTATACTGAAAAAGGAACTAGGAGGAAACGAAATGCAGGCAGGCAGAAGACTTTAAATAAACTGTCACTAATATTCTCAGAAAGGTAAAATAATAGATTATATTCAAGAACTAGGAATAAGATGTAATGAAAAGAGCATATTGGAATATTAGAAATTTAAAATATACAACAAAATTTTAAAAAATCAAAAAGTAGGTGGAAAGATAAAGTTGATGAATTCTCCCAGAAAGCAGATTATAAAAATAAACAAGTAAATGAAAATTGAAAGTCAGAATTAGAGATTTAAGATAACGGTTCTGACATTCAAATAATAAATAAACAAATAAATAAATAAACCCTGAAACATAAAAAGACATGTTATCAAAGAAATAATACAAGAAAAATTCCCAAAATTGAAGGACATGTGTTTCCAGACTGAAAGGGCTCAGACTTTATTGCCCAATGAAGAAAAAAAAAAAAAAAAAAAAGACTCATACCAAGGTATATCATCATAAAATTTCAAATTATTGCATAAAGAAATGATTCAAAATACTTTCAGAGATAAAAGAACAGATCACACATAAAAAACTGGGAATCAGATTTCAACAGCAATAGCGGAAGCCAGAAAAAAAAAATGGAGAAATGTTTTTGAAATTTTGAGGAAAAGTAATTTCCAACCTGGGATGCATTACCCAGTAAATTATTAACCAAGTGTAGAAAAAGAATATATTTTCAGGGGTGGCTCCACAGTGTAGTGGTTAGCCTGTCTGCTTTACACGCAGAAAGTCCTGGGTTCGTACCCCAGGTGGAGCCGCAGACCATACCCTGGGTGCACCAAGGTATGTGGGAGGAGACACTCCACCTTCAGAGATCCAGTTCTTAATGGGAAACGGCAACATCCATAGGCCAGGGGTGGAAGTGGGGGGCAGGGAATTAAAGAAGGGGATAAAAAAAAAAGAGAAAAGAATATATTTTCAGATATGCATAGTCTCAAAATATTTTTCCTTTCATGCATTCTTTTTCAGGAAGTTATTAGATGTGTCCCAACAAAATGAGAGAATAAGCCACAGGTGGGAAGACAAGAGATCCAGGAGATAGGAGATCCCAAACAGGAGATGTAAAAGAAGTTCCAAGATGATGACGGTAAAGGGAAGTCCAGGGTGACAGCTGAGCACAAGCCCAGAAAGAAGTCCAAATTGAAGCAGAAAGATAAAAGGCTCCAAAAAAGCTGCCACCAAGAAAGAAGGGGTGGGAGTGGGGTAGGTGGTGGCTTCATGTATTTGTCAGAGAATTGTTTCTCGTATATGGAAATTAAGCAAATGAAAAAACAGAGCAATTAGCTCTAGAAAAAAACAAAATGTATAGAAAGTATAATTATAGCATTGCAGGGCACGTAAAGAACCAGAAATTAGTGAACAATACAAAAACAGTCAAAATAATGTCAATAAATGAATATTTTTTAAATCCCAAATTGTGATATAACAATATGGGCCGGGGGGGCCATGGAGAGCCAAAGTGGGTATGTGTCTAGGTATGTTTGTGGAAGGAGTACTTTTAAGAGTTTTATCTTTATACGCCACAAATAACGGCTAAAATTTAAATTCAAGAAAGAATACTACACAGAAATATGGTGCTAATAATGAAAGAAACAGCTTATGATTTAAAAATGGAAAACTTTAGGTGTGAAACAAAGTAGGGCTCTTCTTTGGTATAAGCCTTGTAATAGTTTGTTTTATTAGTCTCTGTACATGTATTGTTTTGATAAAATAACAAATTAGAAAAACAAAATAAAAGGATCAGTTACCTGTCCAAGCTCTTCATTCAGATCAGAAGTATTGACTTGAGCTTTCTGATCTGATTCTTCATGATAGAGATCAAGATCCCAGCCAATAAAAAATGACCCAAGAAATTTCTGCATTTCGACTGTCACATATAATGAAATTGGAATGATGAAATTGTAGAGTACCAAAAAGGCAAGGAAGTCTGAAATAAATTTCAGAATCTAGAAGAAAAAATGATTGTTTGATAAAAGAATTTCTTCATTATTACTGAAGAAAATTATTAGAAAGTTTCATGTCTAAAAAGGACATTTAGCTATACTGAATGGTCTTTTTAACACATCTCCTTTGGTGCTTTAATTGTTCATTAGACTCTCAAAGTAAAAAAAAAAAATTAAATTCAAATTACTTGTTACTTTTCAGAAGCTACCCAAAAACCCGATGTGATAGAAATTGCTTTTGGCAAAATTATAACCTCTGGAATATACTTACCATTCTACTCCTACCCTTCAAATTCACAGATAACTAAATATTGACAGTAATTTTTTAAAAAACTATAAAATAATTGCTAGGCTAGAACTGCTAGAATTTAAAACTCTTAATTACAGATTATACAGGAATAGCCTACTTAATGGCATAGCAGTGCCACACTTTAAGATACATTCTGTGAAAGGTAAAAATACCTAATTATGAATGATATTGAAAATATGTCCCTGTGATTATCTGCTTTGTGGTCTCTTGAGATCCAAATTTGTCTTACTATATTTATATTTTAATCTAAAGTAAAATTTGGAGAACAATTATTTACCAAAATTGCAGGTTAAATTCTCTTGGTAGTTCATATTTAATCAGTTTAAATCTTTATAGGACATAATTTGTGTTATTTCATACCATCAATAGACTGACATGACAGTAAGACTCCTCGAATTGACAAAATTAAAAACAAATCAACCTACTCTATTTCAGTTGTAACATACAGTAAGTGGAATAAAAAACCGAATTTGTAGTATTCAAGGGGAATGCCAATATAGACGATTTAAATTTTTGTGATCTCTTGTAACTATTCGAGTCATGCCACAGAGAACATAATTGCTTACACCCTAAATTGCAAAAAGCACATCAGTACAAACATGGTGGCTACTCTTAATTTGCAATGTCCTTTTGTCACCCTTCGGCCCTTGATCTTAGCCAAAAAGGCTAAGAAGCGATTTGTCACCCTTCAGTAATAGTAATTTTGGAAGATCACGGTGGTCACTCTTATCAGAAGTCACTATCAAAGCATTAATTGTGCTAAAGAATAAAGTTTCCTTTACAGCAGTCAAGAACACCATAAAATACCTTACTACTATTTCTCTGATGTTCTGTTTTTTGGTTATACCAAGGTTCATCCCATTTTTCCTCAGCTTGCCATGTATATTTCAAGATAGTACTGATGATGGCTTCAGATATAAGTATTATTAGATAAATTATCAAAAATGTATTCATTGACCTGAAATGAGAAAAAGAGAACATAAAACATCAATTATGTGTTACTATATACAGTTTGGAAATACTGGTATTAAATAAGATATAAAAATATATAAAATATTATGGCAGTAACTTAAAGGACACAGTCTTTGTTTTTAAGAAGTGACCATTTAATAGAATCTATTTACTAGCAATAAAATAACCAACACGTGAGATTATAAGCCTTTTTACTATAGTTATGTTATTGCTCAAAATGCTAATAGTAATGACAGTTTTGGCCAGTTATTTTTACATAAGTAATTACTCTAATAAAATTTTTTAATATTTTCAGGACCCACCTAATTTTAAGTGTAAACATAACTAACATTTATTTGTATAGCATTAAGATTTTATAAACTTTTGTCACCTCCACTAACTTGTCTAATCTTTACAAAAGCTCTATGAGGAAGAGATAATATCCTTTTTAATGATGAAGACCAAAGCCCAAATATCATTCTGTAAATTTCCCAAAATCACACAAATCAGGAATTAACTTTAAAATTCCTCTTCTTTTCACCAGGCAAGCTTAATATTACATCTTCAATTTCTTTCATCAGCATTTTGTAATTTTTAGCATTCGGATCCTGCATGTATTTTGTTAGCTGTACACCCAGGTACTTCATTTTTGGGGAATGACTGCATATGGTATTGTTTTTCATTTCAGTTTGTCATTGGTGTTTCTTTTCTAATCTGAGTATTCAGTGCTGTGATGGTTAATTTTATGTGTCAACGTGACTGGGCTAAGGGAGGCACAGGTAGCTGATACACAATCACTTGGGCCAACTTCTATAATAAATCTCATCTTATATAAACCTATATATAACCTACTGGTCTGTTCCCCTTTAGCTGCATACTATGAAATCTAACACTGTATTTTCACTAACTTCTAGATATTTTTTTAAATTTTCTTTGAGATTTCCTCTCTGACCCATAGATTATTTAGAAATAAGAGATCTAGTTGCTCCAATTCCTTACTTGGAGCAATATTGGAACTTCTAGTCTTTCTAATTTTCACCGTTCCAGTAAGGTCATACTGGTATCTCTATAGCTTTACTTTGTACCTCTCTCAGGACTCATGATGTTATACACTTTTTCACGTGCTTATTGGCCATATGTATATTTTCTTTGTATTGTAAAGTGTCTGCTCTAGCCGTTTACCCATTTCCCTCCACTGGGCTGTTTTTTTGTTTTTTTTTTTTAATGGATTTATAGGAGTTTTTAATATATTATTATATATCCTGAATACAAGTCCTTTATCAGATGTTTTATGAATATTGTCTCCCAGTTTGCAGCTTGCTTGTTCACCTCCTTAACTTTTATGGTTATTGCTTTTTGTGTCCTAAGAAACATTTACCTATCCTCAGGTTATGAATAGATCTTCCTAAGTTTTCTTCTGAAAGTTTTATAGTTTTAGCTTTTATGTTTAGATCTATGATCCATCTTGAAAACCTTTTTGGTGTATGGTGTGAGGTGGGAGTTGAGATTTATTATTTTTTCCCCATATAGATAGCCAACTGTTGTTAAATCATCTGTTGAAAAGATAATCATTTTCTTCAAAGAATTTAGTTGCTTTGGTTGAAAATCAATTGACAATTTATGAATGGGTCTATTTCTCAACACTATTTTATTCCATTGAATTATCTTTTATGCTAATACCATACTATACTTATTGTAACTCTATATTAAGCTTTAAAGTCAGATAATGTAAATCCTCCTTTTCTTAAGAGATTGTTTTCATTATGTACTTTGCAGATACGTTTTGGCTATTGCATTTCAATATTCATTTTAGAATTACCTTGTCAATTACTACAAAAATAGCTTGCTGGGATTTTAATTAGGATTGAAAGAATCTAGACATCAACTGACAACTGAACAATACTAAGCCTGCCAATCTATTAATGTGATTTCTCCATTTATTTTAGTCTTTAATATCTCTCGCCACATTTTATACAGTTCATTATAGAGATCCTGCACAAGTTTTTAAAAATTTATTTCTAAATATTTTATGCTTTTTGACACTACTATAAAATAGAAATTTATAAAACTTAATTTCCTGTTTTCTATTATATAAAGATAATTTTTAAAAATTAACCTTGTACCCTGAAACCTTGCCAAACTCACTTATTAATTCTAATAGTTTTTTTTGTTCTTGTTGAATGCTTATGGTATCTATATGAAAAATCATGTGTCTTCCAACAGGAACAATTTTACTTCTTACTTTCTAATATTAACGCTTTTTATTCCTTGGTTTTATAACACTGAATAAAGCTCCTAGGATAATGCTGAAAAGTGGTGAGGCTGGATATCGTGGATACAAGCCCTTTACAAGATATGTGCTTTGCAAATATTTGCTCCTAACTATGGCTTGTCTTTTCATTTTTCTAACAGTCTTTTTAAATGCAGAAATTTTTAATTTTGACAAAGTTTAATACATCAATTTTGGGTTTTGTTTTTGGTTTATTTTTTATATGTTTCCTATCTAAGAAATCTTCCCTTAACCCAAGCTCACAAATATTTTCTCCTTTGTTTTACAGATTTAGCTCTTATGTTTTAAGTCTTACATTTTCAGTTAATTTTTATATATGATGAGAGGTAAGGATCAAGGGTGAGATTTTGGAACATGGATGTCTAATTGGTCCTGCATTATGTGTTAAATAGATTATCCTTTTGTGTGGAGATATTTTTTATATTAGATCTCTTTGATAGACACAGGGCTATTTAGATTTTCTGTTTCATCCTATGTCAACTTCTATAAGTTGTGTTTTCAAAGAGTTTGTCCATTTCATCTGAGTTGGAAAATTTAGTGACATAAAGTTGTTCATAATAGTTCTTTATCTGTAGATAAAGTGACCACAGTAGGAAGGATCTATAGTAATAGCCTAATATTGGTAATTTTTTAATATTTCTTTCCTACCACTTTGATTTTTCACCCTTAATCCCTCAATCTAGGTATTTATCAATTTTATTAATAATTTCAAAGGACCAACTTTTGGCTTTGTTAATTTTGTGTTCTATTCTATTTGTTCCAGTTCACATCTTTAATATTTCTTCTCTTTTTTTCTCAGACTGGGTCTAATTGCTCCTTTTTCTAGCTTCTTAAGGTAGAAATTTATATGACTGATTTTAAGCTTTTCTTCTTCTCATATATAAACATTCATAGCTAGAAATTTCCCTCTAACCTAGGCTTTGCCTTGAGTCCACAAATTTTGATATGTTGATTTAAATTACCATCCTATTTTTCTCAAATTTTGGAAATTTTAAGTTATTATTTTTTCAAATATTTTTATTCTGCCTCTTTTATTTTTGGGGGGGCTCAATTAGACTTATGCTAGAAACCAAAAACATTGTTTCCACTGCAATAAGCAACAGCAAAATTATCCGTTCAGTTCTTTCAGCTTTCTAGTACATACTATTTTACTGCCAACCCCACTGAGGTTTCCCCTGCACATGTATAGTTTTCATAGCTAGCCACATGGCTTTGAAACTGTTCATTCTTCTTCAATCTTTTTCTCTCTGTACTTCAAATTGAATAATTTTTTATTGCTCTTTCAAGTTCACTGACAATTTCTTCTACTTTCCACAATCTAGTATTGAGCATGTCTAATTACATTTAATTTCAGTAATTATATTTTTCAACTCAAGAATTTCCACTTAGTTTTTTTACAGTTTCCATTTCTCTGCTGAGATTTCTCTTATGTTCATTCATATCTTCCCTTAGGCCTTTAAAAATATTTGCAAGATCTAGATCATTATGGAGACAGTTTTTATTGAGTGCTCTTCTTTGAGTACAAGTTACATTTTCTCCACGTCTGCTTATTTTTGATTACATAGTAGATTTCGTAAATAATATGTTGTTATAGACTCTATATTCTTTTATGTTCCTCAGAAGAGTATGGATTTTCATTCCAGCAGAAAGTTAACTTGGCTAGGCTCAAATACCAAAAACATTGTTTCCACTGCAATAAGCAACAGCAAAATTATCCGTTCAGTTCTTTCAGCTTTCTAGTACATACTATTTTACTGCCAACCCCACTGAGGTTTCCCCTGCACATGTATAGTTTTCATAACTAGCCAAGGATTAAACATAATTTTTGTACAGGTTTTAGAGTTTTATTTCCTTCTGTGGCTCCAGGAGCTTATATGAGTTTCCCCTCCCTAGCTGCTCTTCCCTTGTCCTCTGACATCTAAATCTTGTAAAGCCTCAGGTTCTCTGATGCCCTCGGTAGAATAGGAATTGAGGAGTGCCCTCAGGCAAAAAACTACATTCAAATCTTTCCCCTTGCTGATGCTCTCTTTCAAGAGTAGACTCTTTGCCAGTTTCCTTCTTTTTTTTGGTCATTCTCCATGCTTTCAAATAGTTATTTAAAAAAATATTTTGTCTAGATTTATCATTATCTTCAGGGGGCTTAGTCTGATCAAGTGATTTCATTATTACCCATTAATATTTATTTAAAGTCATAACTTAGCATATGCCAAACATTTTGTATGCTGCGTGCATACAAAAATCCCTATCCTCAAAGATATTGTCTTCTATTGACTTGGCATTATATGTTTTTTATGTATTTTTATATATTAAATATATTTTATACACATTTTATACATATATAAATAATGCACATATCCATTGTCATATTTATGTGCAAATAAATGAAAAAAGACAGCTTTCTTACTTTTCTACTGCAGATCGTTTCTGGGACTTGCTCTTGTAATTTAATGCCATCTTTGTTTCCATTCCGGTGTACACAGCAACACCTGCAAAACAAAACAGTCTCTTAAAATAATCCCCTAGCTTGTTTCACAAGACAAATAATAACCATTAACTGTCAACCAGTTAATGAATAACATAAGCTAGCCAAAATATGAAGGGACATTCCTGAAAGGAGAAGTATATGTTCCAATAGTACATGGTAGATAGTTATAGGTAAATAAGAATCTGCTGAATGAATGAGTCAGCAGTTATCTTCACCAATCTAATGAAATTATATAGGTGGTTTACTGTACCATGATGCCAGATTATACTGGTTGTCATCTACCACTAATAGAAGTGTCAGAATTATCTTCTTAGCATTCAGTTTCACAAATATACACAACGAAAATATAAGAGCAGGATTCTAGTCTATTACTAAAAAATAAAGATTAACAACAAAAATACAACACGAAATTATATTAATACCATCTCTGTAAGATAACTGTCACAGGCAACATTTAAAAAAGTAATAAATTAACCAACTAAAAGACCACAAAAATTGTGCTTTTAAAAATATTTCATGTAAAGCATCAACCAGAATCTATAAATAAAAATTTTCAATAGATACAAACCAAAAATTTCTTTTGTGTTTTTTAATCTGGCTCCACGAAGCAAGAGACTCTCTGGCCCCAGAGGTCTAGGAAGGGGAAAAAAAGCAGTGAATATATATTAATAAGTCAATTAAATTCTAAAATGGCATCATCAGCAGAAAGTACTTAAGGTGTAGTTACAACACTGCTTTCGTATAAAACCAAAATCTCAGCTACTACAAAGCTGTCTAGGTCAATCATGATGTTAGTTATCGTAACAAAAATACCTACTTTGGCTTTTCAGTCACTTTAAGATCAGTGGCTCAGAAGTAAGATTATGCTGGTAAATAAACTCACAAAGCCACCAGTTTCAAAATTTTAAACATAAAACACAACAAAATAAAAGATTAAGCAATGATTTAATAATGTTTAACTGAAGATGAAATTTTAAAATTTGGAGCAAAATTAACAGTTTTCGAAGAAAATACAGAATTAAAATGCAATGTAAACATAAACTGTAGCATGATGTGTGTGTAGATGTGTAAGTTCTGCACAATTAAAAATACACTGGATTATAAAACATAACATAGTAAGTGAGTTAGTACTTAGCTAGGCAAGACTGACACTACAACTTGACTACTTGCATTGCATACTTCTTGGAGCACGGGTCTTCTTGCTGTTTGAATTGCTCTCCATAAGGGAGATATAAAACGAGAAGGAATAACTAGAAAGGAAATTGTATTTTCTTAGTGATAGCAAAATGATAAGAATCTATTATGGATAAGTAAAAAAAGCCTTAATTTTGTTGATATTCCTTATGCTTTCCTGAAATATACAAAGAGTTATCCAAATCAAACAGAATCTGAACCAATTCTGAAGATCTTTGCAAACCCAAACACTCTAACTAATCCAATGAACCAAGGGGGTCAGGTGTTTGAAACATGGTTAATAAGTACGGTTTTATTAACTAGTCATATTTGAAGCACACTCCATGGATAGTCTAAAATCAATTAATCAGGAACCATAAAACAGCTCTTTTTCACTTGGTGTTGATTCCAACAATGAATAGAAAAACTCTTAGCTCACATTGGCATATACAATTGGAATATGATGGAAAGCTTCAAATTAAAAGGTAATTCATGAGCAAACTGTGGTTGCTTCAGCAAAGAACATGGCTCATTTTCTAAACCATTCTAGGGGCTGAGGGAACATAGTTGATCTTTTTCTTTACCAGACACAATACATTAATGCAATTCACACTACCTATTCACACATGTAATCCCATGATATCACTATAGAAATCAAAATGAAACCTAGTCAAAGTTATTCAAGCAGGGGTCCTACACTTAAAAAGACCTTGTTACAGAGTTTATCGAACATGCTTCTGCATTATTGTTTACTAAAAATGTGAATCAGTGCTGATGCATATTTTTGGTGACTTGTCTTGAGGATTTCATTTAAAAAATGCTCAACTCTTTATATCAGTGACTTATTTTGCACAGCCAATTTAATTAAATATGTCTCCAGAAAAGAGGTGGAATGCTAATTTGATTAGAAGTCCTAAGGATGATTCTAAGATTTATTCTAAATTTGGCTTTGTGGTCATGAGTAACAATGTAACCTCATCCTATCAGCAAACCTTTGAAATGACCCAAAACCTTTCATGTAGGTGCCAGAAATTAACCTGAATATTGAGGGGAAAAACCTAAACAACCAAACAAAAAAACAATTAGAAAAGTAAATAAGAGATTCTGGATTGGCCACTGAATACTCCATTTTGTGCTGAATGATTTGAAATGAAAAAGACCATAACATTTATACCTGTTGAACATTACACAGGACATTTTCTGTACTCACTTTAAGTATGGTAGGCAAGGATTTGAACAAGAACAGCTATGTTTCCTTTTATGTTACTACTTAATATTACTGGAAAAAGAAATATAAGTACACAAATAATCATAAATCATTTTGATATCATTTCATGGAATCTGTTTCATCCTCACTTGCTGCTACTATAAATTACTAGAAGATGAAGTGCTAAATGCTTTTAAATGAGTCCTTTTCCATGATATACTGCTTACCTAATATCTCTTTAACTTTATTCTTACCTTACAATTTCTTCCATTTGTTGAGTTATTATCATTCGTCCCATGAATCTATTAAAGAATTCACCATGTTACAAAAAAACCAATGATATATTACTTATGACATCAATAGGTAGAAAGTTTTAGATACTTTAAGCACTGTTCCTACACATGAAACAAACCAACCATTCGTATATATTAGTGGTCCAATATTCATGTTAGAAATTATAAAAATAAATACTAATCAGTCATTAAGCTTTAAAAATTTAAATATTCTTGCCATCTCCACTCCGACTATGAATGAGATAATGAATAAAAAAAAAAGTTTTCAAATGTTTTATATATTACTAATATGTTTCATCATTATGAGAATTTATAATTGCTACACAAAGATGTATACACTATTTAGCCAACAATGAATACTCACATATTTCATCACAATTTACTAAATATAAAGCTTCCTGTAACCAGAATTGTTCATTTACTTATTCATGTATTCATTCACTCAACAAATATTCATTGAGCACCTACTACTTGTGAGTTAAGAGGTGGGAATAGAGTAATAAGCAAAAACCTATCAGTGAAGTCCAGAGTTTCTTTAACTTTTGGTTGCCTTAAATCTAGATTAAATGGCTGGCCTGTTGGGAATGAATTTTTATAGCCTGGACTTTTAGTTCCAATTTCTACTACCAAAACAGCTCCATAGCGTAGAGTCAATTCAAGTGTATTCTTACTTTCTACTACAGTGAGAAGTAAATTCTGAGTTTAAGCAAATTCTAGACAGAGCTTCATGTTAATCATTTAACTAGGCAAAGAAATTGTAAGCATTTCCTTCCAAATGTACCTATTACTCCTCCTGTTCCCAGGTCATAGATGCTTTATCCTTTTGGGTGTCATTTTTTTTTTTTTTTGCTAATCTCTTACTTCTGCTTTCTTCAACTCCCTGTATCAGGGAGAAGCAGTGTTATTTTTATTAACATTCAGCTGCTGTCTCCCTGGGCATCTTTCAGAGATGATGCGTGATTGCGCTTTTGATTTTCCTGAGCTTAATTCAAACAAGAGACCTGTTTTACTTCATTGTATCTGTCCTGTTATCCTTGATTCTAAGGCACTTCTCATTGGTTCATGCTAGTTCCATGGTGGATTAATTCACCTTGCATTTTCCTTAGCCCTTTCTCCAAACCCACACTTCTATTTGTTTCAAAGAGAAAATAGCTTTATTACCCTCTTTTCTGATTATAAAGACTATATACACTCAAACACACACACATTTTATAAAATGATTCAGACAATATAAAAAGATATCAAAAGGGAAATAACCATCACTGGTAATCCCACTACTCAAATACAAACACTGCTAGTATTTTGGGATATGTTTTCCAGGCTTTTTTCCATGCATGTATAAATACTTATCAAAAAAACGAAACCAGGATCACACCATAAACACTGTTGGTAACGCCCCTCCCCACTTAACATGTCTTGCCAAAAACATAGATACACATAATTATTTTTAATATCACACATAATATTGTATTTTTGGGTTACTATAGAATTTATTTAAATAACTCACTACTGATGGAAGTTTATGTTTTTTCCAACTTATATTCTAAACAGTGCAGCCCTGAACAACCTTATGTACAGGAGCATTTCATTATTTTGTTAGGAAACACTCCTAGAAGTGGAAGTGCTAAGTCAGAGTCTAAAAAATTAAGAGGCAGAAAGAACTCTTAGAATTACAGGAGCAAAGGAGCCAAAGAAAAAGAAAATGGAGAATATCGTGAAATAGGCACCTGCTAGAGGCTGCTCCTAAACAAAAGGCTCTCCTTCTTTTCATTTCTTCCAGTGGTTTGGCAGAGTTCATTTCTTACCATACTCTAGCCTCTCTCAATAAGCTATTAAAATTCCTTAAAAAGTAATTATGTAACCCCACTTAATAAATATGTAATTAGAAAGGAATTAAAAATGTTCGACAGAGAAGAATTAATAAACAAATAGAAAAATATTTAGTCTTTTTAATAAAGAATAAATTAAAACTAGAGTTTTAAAACTTTACTATTATCTACAAAATTAGTAAAAGATTTTAAAAGATAATATTTAATACTAGTAAAATTCTGAAACAATAAAAAACCTCATAAACTTATACTTGGCTCATGGCAATAAAAATTAGTCCAATGCTTTTGTAAAGTGTCAGTTTATTTATTAAAGCCAAACTCTATTAGGGCTTTAACCCAATAATTGCTTTTCTGCAGTTCTGTCCGTTCTTAGAGAATAATTTAGCATTAGATTATAAACTCTAGGACGCAGGAGTTACCCCGTTTCTTTATTGTTGTATTCTCAATTTTAGTATATGTGCTGCCGTATTAGCACAGTATTCTCGGTGTCTACCACTATGCCTCAATTATTGGTGGCACTCAAAATCTGATGAATAAATGGGCAATAAGTATATTCACACATCCTTTGATCTATAGTAATTTGAAACCCTATCATTCATCCATTCATTGAACAGATATCTATTGAGTGTCTACTATGTGCCTGGTACAGTTTAAGTACTTCAATTCGATAGTAAAGTGAACTACACACACAAATCTTGTTTGCATATATCACAGACAATTCAATAAGAGAAAATTTAAGTGTATAAAATTAAGTAACTAAAAATATTCATTCTTTCAGCTGTCAACAAATAAAAGTAAGGCTTCTTATTTACTAGATCTGTCCTAAGTGTTTGGGATATATCAGTGAACAAAATACACAACAATGCCTGCCTCTGAGTTTAAGTGTAGTTGGAAAGAGATAATAAGCAATAAACATAATAAATAAGTAAATTACATAGTATACTAGGAGGTATTATGTGTTATAAAAAAGAAAAGCAGAACAGGGTAAGAAAGATTAGATTGCAGTATTAAATAGTCAAAGGCTTCACTGAGGAGATTTAAGCATAAATTAGAATGAGGTAAAAGAGTTAAGACAAGGAATAGTTAGTGAAAAGGTGGGAGTGGATATGGCATGTTCAAGAGAAAGGAGGCCAGTGTAGCTGGAGGGTGAGCAAGAGGGAGATGGGTCAGAAATTAGGTCAGAGAGGAAAGGCTGAGGACAGGGACAATCAGTAAGGTCCTATGCATTGTCAAAAAGATAAGGGTTTTTACTTGGAGTGAAATGGAAAAGTCATTGCAGGGTTCGAGCAGAGGAATGACATAATCTGACTTACATTTTAAAAGGATCACTCTGGCTGTTATTGTGAGAACAGAATGCAAAGAAAAGAAGAGTGAAAACAGAAAAACTGGTAAGGATGCCTTTAATAGCAGTAAACCAGGCAGGAGAGCTGGTTTAAACCAAATTAGAAGCAGTGAAACTGGTGAAAGATGGTCAAATTTTGGATGTATTCTGAAGGTAAGGTATTCTGATGGATTGGGATGAGATGTGGGAGAAGAAGAGAGGAAAGGTTAGCAGAGAGGGGAGGTGACTCCAAAGTTTTGGGCCTAAACAACTGGAAGTGAGGTCTATGGCCATGCCACCCTGAACAAGCCCAATCCCATCTGATCTCAGAAGCTAAGCAGGGTCGGGCCTGGTTAGTATTTGGATGGGAGAACACCTAGGAAGACCAGGTGCTATAGGCGTAAAAAAATTTAAAAAATAAATAAATAAATAAGGGACTGTAAGCTGACAAGGTCCTTGCAATCTGTGAGGTCAACCAAGGGTTGCCTCACTCAAAATAATAATAATAATAATAATAATAATAATAATAATAATAATAAAATTAACAATTGGAAGCGTGGACTGTCATCAACTGAGATGGGAAAGGCTGTTGGCATAAAATGTTTTGGAGGGAAGATCAGGAATTCAGTTGTTCAACATGATTAATTTGAGATATCTACTAAACGTCTAAGTAGAATTGTAGAAGAGCAAGTTGGATATAAAAGTCTGGAATTTAGGAAAGAAGCCTGAGATGGAGATATAAATCTGGGAGTTAGAATGTAGATGATCTTTAAGGCCATCGGCTTGAATGAGATTACCAAAGGAATTGAGGGCAGAAACTGAAAGGGATAGGGAGGGAAAGGAAGAGGAAAGAGGACAGTACTGGGTCACTCTAACATTAAGAAGTCCAGAAGAAGAGGAGAAATCAGCGAGAGGGACTGAGGAGGAGGAATGGTGAAGTAGGAGGAAAACCAAGAAAGTGTCTTGGAAGCCAAGTGAACTAACTGTATGAAAGAAGAGAAATAATGAACTACCCAACTGCTGGATTTTGAACTGGTGAACTTATTTGCAATAAAGAGCCATGCAATATTTGTAATAGCAAAACAATGAGAGTTAGGCATTGAAATATTAGGGAATGGTTAGATTCTAGTACATTCACTTAGACTATTTTGCAGCCATTAAAAATGATCATTAAGAATACTATGCAGTAAGATGGAAAATGCTTTTTTAAAATCACAAAATACACATTCTTTCAAGAAATATTAGAAAATATGGAGAAAAGCAGCTGAAATCCTACCACCAAGAAACAACTAATTTTCTGACATGTAATTCCTGTTTTTCTTTCTCTATTTTTCTATCCTACTACTTAACTACCTATCACACACATACACATTTTTTTAAATACAATTGGAATCGTATGAGAACTAGACCTTTATTTCTTATTTAACATTATATTTCAGTATGTTCCTATGTCATTAAATTCTTTGAAAACATCATTTTTGTAATCTACAGATTTGCCTTATATACCTATGTAAGCATTCTCCTACAGGGACATTTAAAATGCTTTCCACTATTTCCCTTACATAGAGCATAGAGTAAAGGGAAAAAACACAATTTTATATATATAATATCTTTACAGTTATGAGCTGCTCAAGGACAGATACTATGCTAGTTCATCTTACTTTTCACCTATCCAATGAGCACAGAGATGCTCAACAATAACTTGTTGAAAGAATGAATAAATAAAAACAGCAAAAAATTTAAGCAGTGGTATGATTATGAGTTATCTTTCCATTACAAAAGCCTTCTGTGGTAGTTACATATATGTTTAAAACAAAATATATACTTTCAGTAAGTAACAAGAGAAAATAAAGAACACCTTATATTTAACAGTGAATTATTTCCTATTCAAAAGTTTTAACTTTCCCCCATTCTCCAAGATAATAAAAAACCACCAACACATTAGTCATATTTAATCTCACATTAATCTTATGCCTGCTTAATGCTCCATCATTTTCTAGTTTTTAATTTTTTTATAACTCACTATTGAAATGAGAATATAATAGCAATATAGAAATCTTAAGTACTAAATACTTTATAGTTAAATCTTATAGTTTAAATGCTCTTTACAGTTTATTGGAAAACTCTATACCTCATTTGAATGATGAAAATGCAGATTTTCATAATATCACATAGAGAATAACCCATGATAAATAGAATGTGGATCCAGAACAAAGAAAGATATGTAAGAGATTTGGAAAAGCTAAGGAGTAACGATAAGATTTGAAATATTTCAACCAGTAGAGGGAGATATTTCACATGACAAGAAGCTGAGGGTGATTTTTTTCACAATGTGGTTGTAAATTATATTCTATCACCAGTTATTGAGTAAAAATGAATTTAGTATCGTACTTATGTCTTTAATAATAAAAATTTGTTTCTATTCCATACCCCACAATAATTAGCATATCACTGGAAGATGATTTACATTGTATTTAGTAAACTGTAATGTTAAAAGGAGTTGGTTCCTAGTGAACACAAAGACATAGCCCTTTGCCTTCATGGAACGTGCATAAGCGCGCACACACACAATTGCTTTCTTCTAAGTAAATAAACTTACTTCTCTTATAACTACTATTATAAAGTTCACTATTATAGTTATAAAGACAGTTCATATCAAAGTAGAAGCTAATGGGAGGGAAAGTTTAAATAAAAGCACTGGTTTTGAATTAATTCTGGCAAATTCTGCTTTTAGCCTTTTCCCCCTTAACTGATCTCCCCAATTCCCTCCCCCCAATAATGTCTTCAATAAGCTAAAGATTTCATTGTATTTTTATGATTGTAAAAATGAGATCTATAAACAGGACTTAAAATATGTTAAATACCACACCTGTATAAGTCTGCTTCTGGTTGCTGACATTCTATCACAGCTACAAGAGTGTCCAAATTGGCAACTGTGTGTAATACTGCTGTTTCTGGAACTGCCACATGGGTCTTAAAAAAAAGAAAAAAAAGGATTAAATTGCAGTTTCGAGATCCAAATGGGACCTTATATATCACCTATTTCAAATCTCCCTTATCTAAAAAAAGTATTAAATATTAAAATATTTTATTTTTCCTGAAAACATTTTCCATTTTTGTCTAATGTGACCTGACTAAACCATAGGGGGCTACACTTCAAATAAATATATAATAATGTTATTTCTAAAACTTAATAATTTTTAAAAGTTTCAGTAATTTAAAAGCTTTCCTTTATTTGCTACCTTATCCAAAGGAAATATCAATAATCCAAAGATATTTTCTTCACCAAGAGGAACACTCAAACACATACATATACAAACCTTCAGGTTAGTTTCTCCATCCAGACTAGCAGTTGTAATGTGACAAGAACCATCAAGTCGATCTGAAGACAACAGCACCAAATCTGCAGGGAAAATTTCATCTTTGGCTATTCGAACAATATCACCCACCTATGAAGAATTTGGGGGAAAAGTAAATATAGTGATTTTAAAAGGCAAGTATAGTGATTTTGTTGAGTTCGAAAGAAGCGATCTTCCACAATATTTTAATGTAGGAAAAATGGCTTTTAACTAAAATATAATCTGGTTAGAATTTGTGATACTAAAATATAATTGATTTCCATTATTTACTAAATGCATACCCGAATGTTTTTTGATCTAGTTTTTACAAGGCCACCACTTCGAACAACATAAACAGGAGCTCCATTTACTTCATTATCTGAGTTATGTCGTAACCAATCTTCATATCCCTGTATCAACAGAATAAAAAAAGTACCCTTTTTAGTATAATTAGAAGATATCTTTATTAAATAAGGAAAAAAACCCAAAAACTTTCCCAAAATATTTCATTCACCAGACTCATATTAGGCTATTCTGAGACATCATCTGACATCCATTTGTACTAGAAATACTCTTTTCTCTTAGTTTTCATTACACACATGTTCCTGGTTTTTATAGTACCTCTCAGTTATTTCTTCTCAATTTCCTGATGAGAGGCTCCTTCTATGTCATCTTTATGGGTCCTTTTCTTATCCTTCATTTTCTCACTACAAGATTTCTTCTATCTCCATGACTTCAAAAAAATTCTAAAATTTGTTATCTTTAGCTCATATGTTTCTTTTGGCCTTTAAACTTGAATATCCAAGTGCATTGTTAATATCTTTAACTTTTATTTTATTTTTTTTAATGCCTACAGAACCTGGTCTTCCAAGGTGGTCTCCCATCCAAGTACTAACCAGGCCCGACCCTGCTTAGCTTTCAAGATCAGACGGGATTGGGCACATTCAGGGTGGCATGGCCGTACACAATAACTTCATTTTGATGTCTCACAAATATATTAAACATTTCAAAACTAAATTAATGTTATCTTCCAAACCTGTTGCATTTCCAATGTTTTCCATCTTGATAAATGACATTACCATTTACTGAGTCGTTCATACTAAAAATCTGGAGAGTTGTTTTTGATTCCTACCTTTTTCCTAAAACCTATTCAATTAAGTTCTATTGCTTCTTTGTACAAATGATATTTTAACCATAAAATATAAATTCACAGAGCATTATTACAGACAATAGAAAAAAATTAAACAGATTTTAAAACTGAAGTCGAGTTCTTTCACTTTCTTAAACAACAGACCAAAAGAATTAATTATAATTTGTATTTCAAAAACAATATGGTAGGCTATATGGGTCATCATTAGAAAGGCAAACAGACACAAGCATTTCCTAAAGAACACTTTGATTAAATGTTAAAAAGTGGCAAGTATCATGCTAAGCTAAATAAGTCAGACGGGAAGGGCTGAGAAGAACCACGATTTTACTTATATGTAGATATAAAACTGAAAGCAACAAACGAACAACACAAACACTCAAAGACACAGACAACAGTTCAGTGGTTACCAGAAGGAAAGGAATGAAGAGGGAGTAAAATAAGGGTGAAGGGGGTCAAATGTATATGATGGAAGGAGATTTGACTTTGGGTGGTGAACACACAATTCAATATATAGATGATGTAGTACTGAATTGTACACTGGAAACCTATGTAATTTATTAACCAACATCAACCCCAATAACTTTAATAGTAACAAAAGTGGCAATTTTTTTTTAAGTGGAAAAGACTTATTGTGCTATTTTAGAGGAAATTCAAGAACTCAGAAGTACAGTGCAAGAACAGATAAAGAAATAATATCTGATAACATTAAGTGATAAAAGTAAGGTACAGAATGTGTTGTGTTCTATGTTCTCATTTGTGAAAAAAATATGCTTGCCATGTGAACACTCTGTGCAGATATATAGACTAATATACAAATAATGGCTTCCTCAGGGGAAGAAAACTAGGAGACTGGGGGTTAGGAGTATAAGAGAGTTCTACTGTATGCTATTTTGTACTTTTCCCATTTTTTAAATTATGTACATTACCTAAGAAAAAAAATTGTAACACTAAAATATAAAGCAAACATTAAAGATTGCTTTGAAGGTCTTTTTCTTTCAGAGAGAAATCTTTTGGGAAAGCATTCTTAAGATACTTAAATTATGTTGTTCCCATTTAAGATGTGGTATGATAATTTTAGAGAAATTTAACTGAAAGTCAAAAAATCTTTTCTGAAACTTCTTTTATAGTCAGTTATACAGAGATGCATACTTCCTTTTATAGTCAGATGACAATGACAGCAGAGCAATAATAATAAAAACATTATCTTTTTTAACACAAGTTCACAAATTTTAATTCATCCTACATATTACTGCCAGATTAATCTTTCCAAAACATTGTTTTAATTCACAATTCCGTTCAAAACCCCCTTAATAACTCTCAATCCTTAGAACAAACAATTGCCCAGCCTGCTAAACTCACCAACCTACATTTCCTTTTAGCTCTTTCCTATACAGGGTCAAACATTAGCCAGACATATCACTCCCAAAAACAGGTCTTGCCTTCTCTTGTATTTGGGCCTTTGCTCAAGTTGTTTGTTGCTACATCACTTTCTTCACCAATTGCCATTTTACCTATATTCTAAGTCTCATCTCTTAATGTTTCTTCCACGAAACATTCCTTGATTATCCAAAGTGTTCCACCCTTTCTCTGAACACCTACAGATCACTGGCTCTTACTACCTTATTTGACTATAAATTTTTTTGTGTTTGGTCTTACCTTCCTCACTTTATAAGTTTTAAGCTCATAGAAGGCAAAGACTATGATGTTAACCAGAGCCCTCTCTATTACAGAACTAGAGAGAAAACTTAATATGCAAAAATGGTTGAGAGAAGTTAAAAACACACACACAAAAAAATTCAACTTTACTCAAAAGAAAACTGAGTCCTGAAGTTGTAAAGGGAGAAAATCCTTATATATCAGATTTTCTCTTTGAAAATTATATGACCTTTCATGTTTCCCTTTTTGCTTTAGTTGTCAAGAAGCTCTCATGTAAATACAGTACTTAACTGTAATAACCACACTAACCTGAGTTTGAGGTATAATATTCCTGCTTCCTACTTTTAGATTTTGTCTTTTTACCCATTTTGGAAGGAGACAGGATGTCAATAATTGTTGTTGCTGTTATTATGTTAAACTCTCTCATTTTGCATTAAATTCACCAGCATTCTTTTCAACTTGGTTTATGGCGTCACATTCTAATTAAATAAAGTCTATATTTGGCCAAATATATATTGGGAAAAGTATGACAACATTTACACTGCTTTAAAAAAATACTCTATTAAGTCATTCATTCATTTATTTATCTGCCAAACAAATTATTTATTAAAGATCCAATAAGTGTACAACCTTGTTGTAGTCACCAGAAATAAACTGGTTTATAAAACAAAGTCTCAAAAAAAATAATAAAAAAAATAAAACAAAGTCTCTGCCCTCATAGAGCTAAACATTCATATGAAGGCAACAGACATTTATTCAACAGAACAACAGGTAATGACAAATGATATGAAGAAAAAAGACCAGAGCAGGAAATGAGAGGGTGACATGGTCAGGAAAAGTCTACACCATCCAAGTGGAAATGCTGCACAGTTGTACATATGTCAGGAGTTCGAGGAATAGTTTCATAATGCATATAAATTTGAGAACCATCAACATATAAACAGTACTTTAAGTTACTACACTGGATGAAACCACTTAAGAGGAAACTACATATAAAAAATAGGCCCAAGGGACAAATATGTATTATTTGATAAAATAACATCTGTAAAAACAAGTAAATATGTAACTGTATGAAGTGATTTGGATGCTATTGACTCACATAAGTCTCTGAGAGAACAGTAAAGAAAGAGAAATCAAACTCAGAACAGCAGCATGATATTCTGTTACCCTAGATACATAATGTAATTATTAATCTATACATTACTCTTATCCTTCTTATGTAAGTAATAAAGAATACATTACATCCCAGGATTATAAAATGTTTGTCGATTTTATTTCCATGGCATTTTAAACCTTATCTCTAAATCTTATAAAATGGAAATTTATCATATTTATACAAGAAAATCCAATTAACTCTCTTTCAGGTGGAAGGGATCATCTCTGTATAATTGAGCCCCTGCCAAGATTTATTTGAGAAGTGGTAGCTATAATAAAGACATGATATTTCTATGTATTTCTTTATTTCTTACTCAGCATGTTTATCCAATAATATCATTTCTCTATACCTATATTTTAATACCAATTCAGGATTTGGTTGAAGCTATTTTTCCTTTACATAAAAATCAACTTCATCAGAGAAAGTAGTAAAAAATAGGAAAGCACTATACAATTTTTATTCAAAATGTTCATGCCAGACTATATGTTCCATTTCCCATAAACATATCCCTTTTGAAATAGCTTTCCTTTAAATATTGCTAAACTCTTAAAAAAATTATAATTAATTTGTTTATTTTTAAATTACTTTGTACATATAAAATGCTTGTTTTTGGATCCTTCCTGGGTGTATAAAGGGAACAACATATTTTAATAATGGTAATCATACCATAAGTCACCAGGTATCTGAAATATAGACAGGCTTAACTCAATTTCACCATACGCAATATCAAAAAAATTTTGCTTTCTTATGGAAATTATTTTCGCAATAATAAATGTTACTTGGGAGTGGACGTATTTAGCAACTTATGAGTGATGGGGGAAAAAGAATAGAAAGCATGTCATACCTGCTTTATGGCAGTTACTGTTATCACAAAGAATAATGGAAGTCCACTGGTAATTGGACTGGTAGGTGTATCAATCATAAGCTAGATTTAAAAAAAAGAACACAGAGTATTATGTTTTTATATGGTACACATCACACTATTAACATCTTAAACCTCAGATGTATTGGGAATTCTGGGAATACTATACAAAATGTATATCATGGTCCAGAGTAAAAAATAATAGGAGAGACAGATTATGCAGTGAGTATAGTTAAGTTCAGTTTCACAGGTTCACTTTCTTGGCTATTATATGGGGTTAGTAGAATATCTAAATCTACTGCATACCCACAAATATTGTTAGAGTGGACTCAGTTATTCTGCCTTCTTAACGCTCAGAGTACTTAAATTCTTTCTCGATATTTGTCTCGGAGTGGAGCTACAGCTGCTCAGAATCTCATTTCACTTTTCTTTGCCCATCCTGATAGCTGAAAAGTCTGTCAGTAATTTTTACTCTGGGATTCAGAATAAGCTCACCATTTAGGGAGAACAAGGAATTAGACTTAGGAAAGAGTTTTTCTTCCACAAGTGATTCTGCTACATCTAGCAGAGCCAGAGGGGTACAGCTTGGAAAACGATGCTGCAATTATGATCTAAATCATACAATCAATGAATTGCTGGAAAAGAAATTTTTGCAGTTAATTATGTTTGTTTAGTTAGAACATGGATCTAATAATTTATTAATGTTCTTTTATGCCACACAAGCCAATTAAATTTGTTTTGTTCCACAGACAAGCTGAATTCCTGATCTTAGTAATTTCACAAATGCATGTGTTATATGGACATGGTTAGTATAAATTTCTCATTTTTCCAAGAAAACCAAGCTGATGTTCTATTGATAAAAAAGTCAGAAGTTTCTTCTCTGTTCATGAAGGAAAAAAAGAGAATTTTTTTAAAAAGTAAATGTTTCCTCAAGTGTTAAAGTAATAACTTGACAAGTTTTTTTCTTTTGAAATCCCAGGTTCTATTGAGAGAAAAGTTCAGAGTTCATACAAAAATTCAATGCCACATTGAAAGAGACTGCTAAGGTATTGTCAAAAAAGAATAACCTCTTTAAAAGAACATGACAATTACTATTTTTATATCTTGACTTGTACTCAAGTTTCATAAGCCGTCCTCTTAATATTTGGATGTTAGGGGGAAAAAAGCACGACGTGAAATTAAGAAACTGTTGAACGGCCTATAATAAATACAGATTCAAGTTAAGAAAATGATCTCCTGGGAAAAAAATCTATGCTCATGAGGATACTCAAAAATTAATGTTAAAAAATTTTTTAATAAAAGTAAAATTTACACTAAAAAAAAAGGGAAAAATTCATTTTGTACCAACATGGTTCCATAGGCAGAAATGTGCCAAAAATATGTGCTGTATATAAAAGGCCAAAATATTTATGTTTTGAGGAAGACCATCTAAAAGATGGTGTTATTTTCCTGGCTTTAATTATGGTTATCAGCACATCAGCGATGAAACAAAATATAATTAATCTTAAAATTTATAGGCTAGTCTTTAGAAATCTAGACATGACTTAAATCATTGTATTCACTGAATATTTTTAGAAATCACATCTATAAACTTAATATGTAGAGTGTGATAAAGCTTACCTGAACCAAAAATATAATAAGAAAATAAAAGTTTGCCACTCTTCTGAATTGTTCAAATAAGTTTTTTGGAACAAAATTCCACACAGTATACTGAAAAAAAAAAAAAAAAAAAGAGGAGAGAGTAATAAATTAATATTAAAAAATAATATACTATATGAATATAACAATAAAAAAAGTAAGATCAGATTTACTAAGCCCTTAGACAAATTCATGTAACTCTTAATGCTACAGAAACTACTGGTATTTAGAGTTTCAGGATTTCTATTCTATTCTTTTTCCTTTATTTTGCTATTTATTACCAATTTATTGGTTTTCTGAAATACAAACACATTAACAGAGTGAATGAGTCTAAATTCTGTGCTTGTCCTGTCATATATAGGAGAGACTCCAGAATATTAAACAATATGAAAATATTATAAGAAAAATAATTATGCTTAAAGATTTTTAAATTATTATGTAATAATGATGAAGAAAAGTGAATTAGAAGTATAACTTCTCTACAGTTATACATATGACTGTATAATTGATCTTTTTCCCTCCTAAAATCTGACATTAGAAAAACGAAAGTTATAAAATTAAATCTTTTGCAAAGAAGTTTAAATTTAAGATAAGCAGTTGCTATGGTAAATTAAACAAAGACATATCATACAGCTACATGATGTACAAGACACTTGCACTATAAGAGGAACAATTATGAGTTCAGTATTAAATAGAGGCAATTAAGAACAAAATATCAATAGCTACATTCAAAGATAAATAAAGGAATATACAAAGAAATTCAAAGGAAAAGCAGTCAGTGAGAAAGAAAAATTTAATAAAGGAGGTCACACTTGATATGAGCTTTGAGAGAAGAATATTCAACAGGCTGAAAATGGGGGGCAAATAGATGGAGAACATTTCAAGAAGGAAGGACAGCATGAACAAAGGCAGAGAGGAGGAAAGTTTACCATGGCTTTGTGGGATACGAGATAATGCAGCCCGGAAGGAGTTTAAGGAAACAACATGAATGAAAAAGTAGTATAAAGGGAATAAGAAGCTAGCTTCATTTATAGTCAGAAAAAATTGATACTGTCTATATAAATATCTACATTCTTGAAACTGGTCAAAAACATGAATTCTACATTTCTACAAAAACATGAAATCTAAATATCTGCAAAAACAAAATCTACTTAAAAATTGTGGTTATCAACACAAAATCATAGTAAAGGCACAGTAATAGGGAAGTTTAACATGAATTTATTTAAAAAAACAGACAATCTAGCTTAGAAGTTTGAGAAAGCAGTAGTGAAATAATAAGGAAGCAATAGGGAATAATGAGAGACAGTCTTCATGTATGTTAAGAAAAGGGCAATGTTTATTTAAATATTTTTTAAACTATGGTCAAAAACATTAAACCTAATACTGCTGCATATGAAAAATGGCCATATAAAAATATTTAATCCTAAAAGTTTTCCAGGACACTCAGCTTCCAGTATTGGCAGAGGAGTTAAGTGGTCTGTGAACTCTCAGCAGATATTACAAAAATTAGATTTTAAAAAACTATTTTAAAATCTGGGAAGTGTCCAAAACACAGATAGAAACTGGAAGAGAGTTTAATTTTTAAAAATTGCAAATGAAAGGAGTATGAATTGTAAACTATGGCTTCTTAGTCTGGAGACACTAGCCAAAGTCTCACAGCTATGGCGGCAAAACAGTAGGGAAAAACTACACCCTTACCAACAAAATATGACCGAGATTAAAGTTCAGGGCGGGAAAATTAGCTGGAACACAAGGAAAATGACCCGAATTCAGAACAAACAATAACCAAACCAGGCTGACAGCTAAACTATACACTAAAAAGAGATGAACTGCAGATACTGATATTTGCAACAACAAAGATGAGTCTCAAGAGTATTAGGTTAAGTGAAAAAAGTCAGACAAAAGACTCATACTGCATGACTGTATTGACACAAAATTCCAGAAAAGACAAAACTATAGCTACAGAAAGTAGACCAGTGGTTGTTAATGCCTAGAGGTGAGGAGGAGGGGAACTCGTTGCTAACTTTTTGGACTGATGAATATTTTTATATCTTGATTGTGGTGGCAGTGGTCATACGATGTTATACATTTGTTAAAACTCAACAAATGTACACTTTAAATTGGTGAATTTACTGTACAGAAATTATACCCAAGTTTTTAAAAAACTTAAAATTTTCAATGACTTTTATTTCTTGCATGATTTATTAAGAACTGTGTCACTAATCTATAGAGTTCTTCTATTACCCTAGATTCCGGTATTTCCCCTTCCGGCCCTCTACTTTAGAACCATTGTCCAAAATGGGAGATGTCACTAATGGGTGTGTTGCATATGTAAATAACATGAAGACTGAAAAAAAAGGGGGGTGGGGCACAGTAAAGGGATCACTGGCCTAAGAAAACATGCTTGGAAAAGATGAAATCAGGATTAGAAAGAAAATTCTTAATCAGTGTGGAAGGGAGGGAAGAAGCAATACAAAAATGCTTCTTAAGGTGGTCTATTAAGTAATAGTTATGGTCTAAGGAGAACTTTACCCTTAGTCTCTTTGACTCATATCCGCTACAACTGCACTGTCCAATAAAGTAACCACCAGTCAGTCGCATGTGGCTATTGACATTTAATTTAAAATAAATTAAAATTAAGTTCCTCAGCCTAAATATAAATAGCCCTATGTGGCTAATGGCTATCATATTAGTGTGAAAAACATTTCCATCATGAGAGAATCATCTATTGGACAGCATTACTCTATAATCTTCAGTTTCAGAATAAAACTAAGACATCTTAAAAATGTCGCAGGATAAAATTAAACAAGGAATAATATGTAAGAGTAAAGTAGTATTGCTCTTACCAAAGAGCAATAAAACTGGAGGAAGTCAGGCTTTAAAGTCATACAGAACTGAGATCAAACTCCAATCTTATCACTTACTGGTATGCAACCCTGAGTAAATTATTTCCCAGCACTTCAACTGAAGAAACTGATACAAAATGAGTATAACAGCACTTTGTAAAGCCATCTCAGAGTTGTTGTGAGGATTAAATGACATGAGAAGTACTTAATACAATGCCTGGTACATAGTATAAATATTAGTTCTTCAGTTTAACTGCAACTAAGGATAATCTTTGGCAAGTTGGCTATCTGTTATCAGCAATTAGCAACTTCTTTTATTTTACAGCTCACAATTTTGGTTAAGATAAATCTACCAACCATCATTTCTTTGAATTTTTAAGGTTATAAATGTATACTGGAATACACCAATAAATCACTTTTCAAAATAAAATGGTACATATCTATAATTTTAATAAAAGTATTCTTACCTTAGATGAAATAATCCGGTTATCTATAAATTTCTGAGGTGTGTAAAGGCCATTCTGAGGAAACCGGTTGGCTACGTAAATAGTTCTTGTGTCACTTTGATGTGGTGGGTCAAAACCCTAAGACCAAGAAAAGGAAAAGCAATGGTCAACAAGGTTCATTATTATTTACTTTGGGTCTTATTTAACTGATCAGATTACACATATCACTGGCCTTGACCTGCAGAGAGAGTCAATCTATTTATTTATTGGCAAAGCTAAGCCATGTTTTGTTTTTCCTTCACACATAAACAGGCACATTTTCTTCAGATATAAACTAACTAGGTAATACCTCTGGTAATGAAAAATAGTCTATACTCTGTCAGAAATGCTACTGCAAGAAAAAAAAATGATATAGAAGACCTACAAAATCATTTGAAGATGAAGCTTCTTTCCTTCCCTTTCATTCCTTGGGGTTCCTTGCCTTTTCTCTCAAGATAGGTTCCTACTCTGCGATGTAGGAGTTCTGTGTAGCTATGGCCTAGTTAGCACCTACCACATCTGATGCCTGATGACAAAGGCTTATATTTTATTACTTCCACACCCAGATCAACTTGGTTTCAAAAAGCTTTGTTCTCAGAGTATTTACAATGCATTGGGTAAGGGTCTTGCCCAGACTCGTTCCATACAATCATCTCTGTGCTAGTTACATTATCAATTGACTCCGTGAAATATGGATATATGTTATAATTCTGGCCTCAAATTTAGAAGACCATTTTTCAAGGTAGATTTAGTAATGATCTTTAGTGGAAAGGTTTTCACTGATAAGCGTACTTATACTTTATTCCTATAATACTGTACTCTTTTCCTGGGTGGCCAGTGAATCTACAATACACCTTTGGTAGATTTCCGGATCCCACTGACAGGCTGCAAGCAGTCACCAAATGCCAAGACCTTTTTTTTTGGTTCTAACAGGCAATGATTTGGAATTTCTTAGATTTTTATTTTTTTTCCCATGGTGGTCAAGGCTCTTTACCAGTACTACTATATTACTAAAAGGTCAATTAAACTTGATTTTCATAAACTACAATAATAAATTTTTAGATATTAAGGACTCTTAGTAATCGGCTAAGTAAAATGGCTGCCATTCAATGTTTAGCATCCCTCTAATATTTCCATTTAGCACAGACATACATAGATAGTGGAAATTTCCATATTACCTGGACGGATATTTTGTTCAGCACATCTGAATATTAACAGTGTAATATATTATTTTCAACTATTGTTATTCTGGTTTTAAATGCATTTGTATGTGCCACAAAAAAAAACATGAAGTTTAATTTTATTTGTTTATGCTATTTATAGTGATGACTACATTTTGTGCATGTGAACGTACCATTATGTGTCTGATTTCAAAATCAGTTTCTTCAAGGACTAAATGTGGCGTGCATATTTATTTTCTTTTAAACATTTCACAAATGTGCCTGTAATAACTTTTAAGGTAAAAAAGTCAGGTCTCGAGTCAGAATTGGAACTCATTGCTCATCTTAAAGATATGTGACATTTATTCATTCAACATTTATGGAATTTAAGTATGTTAAACCATGAAGGAATATGTGATTTCTTATATATTCAAGCAAATTATAATATGTTCCAACTCAAGAAATAAATAAACAAATAGCCTGAATGTTAATGCTGAAGTCTATGTTGTATTTTTCAAAGGGGGTTCACAAGAAGTTTGTCTCTAAAGTTCATAAAGTTACAAGAAGGATACACAGGTAACTGGAGTATTAGACTGCATGAACCATATTCATTCAGTATCTATTCTATAATCCTGTTAACATAAAACTAAGTTATACACCAAGCATGTAAACTTCTGGCATAAATGAAAGAAAAAAGAAAGTAAATTTGAGAATATATAAATCTTTAAGAAGATGTCGAGACAACTGACACTGAGAAACACTGATACAGAATTTTATTTTTTGTGAATAAATTCTACAAAGATTAGAATTATGTTCATCTAAAGAAACAAAAGAGATCCTCCCCAAAAGTTATAAATACATGTTTTGAATGTTTTACATACACTATTGCGACATTTCATTCATGACTACTATATATATAGTACAGATATATGTGTGTGTATATTCTATATTTATAAATGCACGTACTTTCAAGGAAACATGCTCATCACTCTCCATTCATCCCTACTGGATGTACCAGTGATCTCATACTCTGGTATTGGAACTCCTGAGATTTCTACAATTATTTTAAGAATACATATTGAAATGTTCAAAAAATAAAATCAATTTTAAATTAAACTGAATTTTAAATTCAGTATCACCATATTCCAAAATACTGTAATTAAAAATAAAATGACAATTCCAAAAGGAGAATAATAAGATTTTCCTGATTCCCAAAGATACTGTAACATCCACTTATGTATTCTGAATTGTTTTTTCAGTTGTGATTAATTCACATGATCTCATCCAATCATGACGTAATCAATGACATGCACATATGTGCGGGTATGTGGGGTTTTTTTCACACATAAAATAGTTAAATTTTCTATTTGTGACTATAGTATAAGTAGAGCTAAATATCCCTTCTGTAAATTAAACCTATAACTGCAGTTTATTAGCATTATCTTCTCTGCAACAAATTACATTAGGCACAAACAAAAATAATACAACTGTCCAAAAATGAAGAAACTGACTTATAGCAGGGTCCATAAATGGGATTCAGGTCTGTGATGCATGCAATTTTACATATATATGGATTTGTCTGATGAGAGTGAGCAAAGGTTTCATCAGATTTTCATAATATAAAGAAGCTTAAAACTACTTACCGAAAGTCCTGCTTTTGTAATCAGTTCCCCATCTCAGTATTCCGTATTTTTAAAATGACACAAGAACCTTTGCCTCAATAACACCTCTACTCCCTTTAACAGGAGTCAAAACAAACAACTATTATAAATTAATTGTATAAGTGTGCTGTTAGTGTGAAGTTCAAGTACAGTTTCAGACTATTTCTAGCAAGCATTATCAGCAATTCTATGGCACTGAGAAAGAAATACAATCTGAACTCTGTAATCACTAGGCTACATGCCAGGGTTCAGAAACCTTTGGCACATGTTACATTTTTTTGTAGTCATCCCAGACTACTCATTTACACCTTCAACCCTTCGATGCTTGCCTGCTCCTTTACTCTCTGATTTCATCTTTTCCTAGACAAGGAATCAAGATAGAATAATGCTATACTAGTCATGCTGATTTTATTTTAATGCCTGCTAAAAAGGAGAGTCTAGGCTTTGGAAGCACACAAATTTAAATGATTTAAGAACAAAAACTCTCATACTCTAAAAAAGCATGTAATTCAAAACCTCTTTTCTGTCTGGATTTGTGAGCATACATTAAAACTACAGGTACTTAAAAGGTATATAAGGTGGGTATTTAAGGTGAGAAAAAAATCTCATGGTGGGATTTAGAGAAAGAACTGACAACACACAGGGTTGATTTGAAAGAGACTCCTTGGGTAACTGTAAACTGATGAGACTTAGGGAAACCAAACCAGCAAATAACTTTATAATTTTTAAAAGTTGTTATTTGGCTTAAAGCAGTTTTGGAAACGAATCACAACATTTTACATTTTCGTACCAAACATACCAGCCTCTGCACTATCTTAAAATCCCAAAGATTTTGTAAAAAATATAAGAATTATAAAGACCTAAGAAGAGACTAAAACTATAGTGCTATTATTAATATCGCATTTCGTTCACATAAAAAGAAAACATCATCTTTAAAGTTCACAGTAACCAAAGCAAATTTGTGCCTCTTATTTTTGTTCCAACGTCCACACGCACATGAAAATAGGCTAACAAAAATACAATGCTTCTGGGGACAAATGATTTAATGTATTTTACCGCATTTACAAACTTAATTGTGAATTACTGTTTCCTGGACATACTTTGAATAAAACAGACCTACTGTAAGGACAAGATAATTTTACACTGTTAACAGACCAAAGCAAGGTGACAGAGAATAACTTAAAATGCCCAATATGTAAACAAACACAATAGTTTAACTTTTTGTTTCATATTACAAAATTTTCATTTTAGGACTTAAGATGTGTTTGCCATACATCAGATTTCTGGGCTTCCAAGAACTGTGGCTTAGTACAGGGATGGGTTGAGACTGGCTCTCTAGCTATAACATATAAAATTTAGAGTGATTTTTGATTTCTAAATTCTTAAATCATCTGCCAGTGCTTTACTACAGAAAGCTCATCTCTGATAGGTAATATTACCTCCCTAACTTAATTCCCTACTCTAATATATACCTCCAGCAAAAGCCTGCTCATCCTTCATATTCCAGCTTAAGAATTTCCTTCTCAGTGGAGCTTTACCTGACACTCCTCCTCCTCCAGAAACAAAGGCAGGCATTTGTTATTTACTATACCCACCAACCCTTTTATACACTCTTGTTACTGATTTTATAACACTGAACTGTAATTGCTGGTCTGTATACCTACATCCCCCTCCAGAATATGTCATTTTTTAGTTAAATGTATTGGGGTGACACTGGTTAATAAAATTATATAGTTGAAGTGTACAATTCTATAATACATCATCTGTATCTTGGATTGTGTTTGCCACCCAGTCAAATCTCTTTTTATCATCATATATTTGACCTCCTTTATTCTTTTCTACCTCTCCCACCTCATTTCCCCTCTGGTAACCACTAAACTGTTGTCTGTGTCTATGAGTTTTGTCTGTCTCATTTGTTTGTTGCTTTCAGCTTTATATCTCACATATGAGTGAAATCATATGGTTCTCAGCTTTTTCTGTCTGATTTATTTCACTTAGCATATACTCAAGATCCATCCGTGTTGTTGCAACGGACATTATTCATCTTTTCTAACGGCTGAGTAATATTCAATTGTATATATCCACCACATCTTTTTCCAATCATCTATCGAAGGGTACTTGGGTTGTTTCCAAGTTTTGGCCAACATGATTAATGCTACAATGAACATAGGGGTACATGTGTCTTTACAAATGTTTTCAAATTTGGGGGGTAGATAGATACCCAGAAGAAGGATTGCTGGGTCCTATGGTAATTCTACACTTAATTTTTTGAAGAACC